CCTGCCCAACAGCGGCCGCTGTTGGTTTGGGACAACATTTGTTGTTGGGCATTGTACCCATTCTTTCCGTACCCATTTCGGGCGTCCAAACTGACGCTGAGTTGAATTATTTTCCGGCGCGCTCTTCGTTTCGCTACCTGCTGCCCCCTTGGAAAGTGTAAGCTAGGCGAACGTGGCCGTGCCATCGCAAGATGCTGCGGGCCTCCTCGAGAGCGACGCGCGCGCTGTAGATGTACTCTCGCTTATGAATAGAAAGCGACGTGATGCGCGACGCATCGGCCTTCGCTTGGTCCGAGCGGCCCCCGAACGGAAATCGAGGCCGCATGTGCCTACATAGTGGCGGCTTGATCCCGTTCAATCAGCGCGTATTTCAAGGCTACCCAGCAATGTCGACGGGAACCTTCATGCCCAAACGTAAATGTGCATCGGTATTCTCTGCGGGCCTCTACGCGCAGGGCTGCGCGCGCCGCGCCGCACGTCGGTGTGCGCGCTCAAGCGAGGGCGCGGCCCTGCGTGCGTCCCTGTCTGGGGCGGACGCGCGTGGTTCTCTGCGGGCTCCTGCGGATGGCTCGCTCTGGGGCGTATCGGGCCTCTTGGGGCTTGTCGCGCTCTTCCTCGGTCTCTCCTCCTGGCTCTCCCAGGTCCCCTGGAGCTACTGGGCCCACTTTCGTCAATGTGGAAACTCCTGGAGACGTCTCGGCAACGCGTTGTCTGGGTTTCACCAGACGCCCAGGGTCGTTGTCCGGCGCGTTCAGGCTGACGTGGAACCGCCCCGCAGTCCCCGGCCGCCCAGAGAGCGGCGTTGGAGCGTTGAGTGTTTCCTTCAGGCGGCGGGCCTTGGCGTCCACATGTCGTGGGACGCCGCGCTGGGCGCTCCTTCAAATCGCAAGCTCGGTCGATTCGCGCATGTGGCGTCGCGCCGCGCAGATGTCGGCCTCATCGTGATCAGCGACCACGTGGGCATGAGGGCAAACTTCCTCCTCCTCCTCCTCCTCCTCCTCCTCCTCCTCCCCCTCCTCCCCCTCCTCCTCCTCCTCCTCCTCTTCCTCCCTCCTCCTCTTCCTCATCCTCCTCCTTCTCCTCCTCCTCCTTCTCCTCGATCTCCTCCTCTTCCTCCGCCTCCTCCTCTTCCTCCTCCTCCTCCTCCTCCGCCTCCTCCTCCTCGTCTTCCTTCTCTTCCTCTTTCTCTTCCTCTTCCTCTGGCCCTGGGAACACGTACAATTTGGTCTGAACACCTCTTACACACCGCTTGGGGGCAGGCTTGGTCCCACGTCCTAACATACGACGGGGCCAACAGTTCCACGCGGAGCACCATGACCGGCACCAGCAGCTCTACGTCGACATCCATTCGGGAGACACGTAGCACGGCAAGTGCCACGTCGCTAAGCAACACGACCGGGACCGGCGGCCCTACGTGGAGCACCGCAACCAGGACCGTCAGCTCGGCGTTGACATCCACGTTTGGGGCTATCAGCGCGACGAGTACCACGTCGCTAAACAGCACGACCGACGCCCACAGCTCCACACGGAGCACTTCATCCAGGATCCGCAGCGCTACGTCGACGTCCCTGAGCGGGACGAGTCCCACGTGCCGAAGCAGAACTATGAGGACCAGCCGTTCCACGCGGAAAACCACGACCAGGACCAGCAGATCGACGTCGACGTCCACTCGTGAGACAATCAGCGCGGAGAGTACCACGCCGATGAGCAGCACGGCGGGGACCAGCAGCTTTACGCCGACCAGTTCGCCGAGGGCCACGCCGACCAATTCGCCGACCCCCGCACCGACCAGCTCACCGACTCCCGCGCCGACTAGCTCACCGACTCACACATCGACCTGCCCACCGACTCCCGCACCGACCAGCTCACCGGCTCTCGCGCCGACCAGCTTGCAGGAAGGGTCAACGATGCGGTGCCGCGCCATGTTAGCGAGGCTCCTGCACCGACCAGCTCACCGACTCCTGCATCGACCAACTCGCCGACCCCCACATCGACCAGCTCACCGATTCCCGCGCCGACCAGCTCACCGACTCCCGCACCGTCCAGCTCACCGACTCCTGCTTCGATTAGTTCGCCGACTCCTGTGACGGCCAACTCGATGACTCCCGCGCCGTCCAGCTCACCGACTCCCGCGCCGTCCAGCTCACCAACTCCCGCGCCGACCAGCCTACCGACTCCCACATCGACCAGCTCACCGGCTCCCGCACCGACCAGCCCACCGACTCCCTCAACGTTCAGCTCGCCGACTCCCGCACCGTCCGGATCGCTACCTCCCGCACTGGCCAGCTCACCGACTCCTTCACCGTCCAGCTCGCCGACTCCCGTGCCGACTCCCGCGCAGGCACCGCCCGTCCAGACCGTTACGCGGACGCGGATCAGCATGACCTGGATCATCAGCTCGACTTCGACATCCTCTCGTGTGACAACGAAATGTGTCGAGTACCACGTCGATAAGCGTGTCGAGTACCACGTCACTATGCACCAGGGCCCGCACGGCATGCCGACGATGACGTACCCCATCAAGCACGGCATCGTGGTCATTTGGGGCGACGTGGTCAAGATTTGGCTTCCACGAGGGGCTCCAGGGCATCCAGGGCTGAGGGACTCACAGTCCGTGAATGCGCGTTTCTCCTCCTCCTCCCCCCTTCTGGCCTTTCCTTTTGTTATGCATGTAGGTGGTGTTTAGTTTCTTCTAGCCTCTCCCTGGTGTCCATGCCCATGCTCGGGGACCGATGCTTGGGAGTTGTATGAAAAGTGGGGGCCGCCCAGGCAGGCGCCTGGCCTCTCTGGTCAGCCGCGCTGTTTGGCCTCGGCGCTCCGCTTTGCCTCTCAGATCCAGAGTTTCCGTTACTATTAATATATTTGTGGCGCTTTCTAGCGATTGCGTTTTCTTCTTCACTGTTCTGTCCACTCGGGCGATTTGTCTGCCAGTGGAGCTTCGCGCTGTGATCTGGTGACTGTCGTGCTTCCCTCCCCTTCCGCTCCTCTTCCCTCTCCTCCTTTCTCGCCCTCTCTTGTCCCATGTTGTGTTGATTTCACTGGTTCGGCCGACTAGGCCATTCCGTAAGGGGACTGCCGCACAACGCTTCGACAGGCCATGGGAAGATACGCTGCAAAGCAAGTGCGTATCATTGGCAAGCTTGAGTATCTCCCTCCTCCTCTGCTGCTGCTCCTCTGCGCTCGCTTTCATTTGCGGGCCGAATTTCGTGACATTTTCGTTGCGTGTCGTCGCGCCTCTGAGCTTTGCGATGGGTGCCGTCAAAGCCCCCGGGAGGGGATGCGGACTCAATACGAAACCGGAGCTGTGGTAGTTGGTGGGCGTTTGCCATGAGGAAAAAATCTTCCTCTTCCTCTTCCTCCCTCCTCCCTCCCCCTCCTCCCTCCTCCCTCCTCCCTCCTCCTCCCTCCTCCTCCTCCTCCTCCTCCTCCTCCTCCTCCTCCTCCTCTTCCTTCTGTCGTCAGAATTCGGAGACGAGCTGGCCCTTACCCCCTGTGGGGGTGGCGGAGTTCCCTTGCCCGTGGATGGCAGCTCTGCGCGTGATTTGGGAAGAGGACGGACGGGAGGGTTGGCCTCTCGCGTGAGGGGCCCCTCCCCAAGCAACGGTAGATTGCGAGTAATCTACAAACCAGGTGGACGTCGCACGGCTCCGACCCTCCCTCGCATGATCATTCCCTGGGCATTCCCTTTGTCGTGCGGGGCCCTGTTCGCTCTGGAGCGAAGCTGCCCTTCTGTCTCTCCTGGCATCTTTGACTTTCTTTTGGACAAAATGGCGTTTTTCAATCCTCGGGCGGTGACGGGCGTTTTCGGGGGTGGGGAGGGGGAGGGAGGGGGGGGGCCAGTGACGTCAGGTCTCGCGCCGGCCCCGTCTGGGAATGTCCAGGAGAGCTCAAGACATTTCGGACGTCAGCACCAATCGTGACGTCACCTGGTGAGGGGGGCGGCTGGGGCCAGCACAACAACGGCCGCTGACGTGACGCATAAGAAACGCTCTCTGTGCGCGCTGCTTCGTGCCGCGCTCCTGGAGCTTCCGTCGAGGTTCCTCCAATCCTCCCGTTGCTCCGCCCTGTCCTCGCCAGCCTCCAGTGGGTCTACGGCTGGCGCCGCAAACGCAAAAACGCTCTCTGTGCGCCCTGCTTCGTGCCGCGCTCCTGGAGCCTCCGTCGAGGTTCCTCCAATCCTCCAATCCTCCATCGAGCTTCCATCGAGGTTCCTCCAATCCTCCCGTTCCTCCGCCCTGTCCTCGCCAGCCTCCGGTGGGTCTACGGCTGGCGTCGCAAACGTAAAAACGCTCTCTGTGCGCCCTGCTTCGTGCCGCGCTCCTGGAGCCTCCGTCGAGGTTCCTCCAATCCTCCAATCCTCCATCGAGCCTCCGTCGAGGTTCCTCCAATCCTCCCCTTGCTCCGCCCTGTCCTCGCCAGCCTCCGGTGGGTCTGCGGCTGGCGTCGCAAAAACGCAGTGTCCGACGTGGCGACGCCGGCCCGCTGATCTTCGACGCTATCCCCCACACTGGGGGCAGCGTGCGCCCTCGAGGCCCTGGCAGGGGGACAGCGTGCGCCCTCGTCGAGGCCCTCCTCCCTCCTCCTCCTCCTCCTCCTCCTCCTCCTCCTCCTCCTCCTCCTCCTCCTCCTCCTCCTCCTCCTCCTCCTCCTCTTCCTCCTCCTCCTCCTCCTCCTCCTCCACCCCCTCCCCCCTTTTCCCTTTTGAGGGGGCGGTGCGGGAGAGGGCGCCCTGGCAGCGCGCACCGACGAGACCCTCGCATGGGGGATGGCGTGCGCAGCAGGGGCCCCCGCGGGGAGGATCGGCTCACACGGAGAGCGGGCTCTTCGGAGGTCGATGGAGCGACCAGGGGGATGGCGTGCACCGACGAGACCCTTGCACGGGGACAGCGTGCGCAGACGGGGCCCCCGCGGGGAGAATCGGCTCACACGGGCAGCGGGCTTTTCGGAGGTCGATGCTGCACGCCATCTCTGCGACGCCTACCGTATATTTGAGTGGCGAGGCCGGGCACATGCAGTCCACCTCCGGGGGGCACAGCTACGAGGAGCCGGCGGCACCGCCATCGTGCATCGCCGGGTCTTGAACGTGCCGCTTCGAGTGCGCTGCATCGTTGTTGCATTTCTCCATGCACATCACTCGGATTGAGCGGATCATATCAGCTCTTCGTATGCTTCGTTTGGGGAGCAAGAAGTGACATATGCATAAACTTTCGGAGGTACGCGCGGATTTCTCGGGTCGGTGCATGAGCGTCCCTGGCGGCGTCTCCAGCGCCGCCCCTGGCGCGCTCCGCGCAAGACGGAGGGGGGTCTAACGCCGATCAGAGAAATCCGCGCGGACCTTCGAAGGTTGATATTTATGTCTTCTTGTGTTTCTCTATATTCTTGGCATGTTCCGTTCTCGATGCCGCCAGCGTCGTTCAAACAGCATAATTACATATGTTCTATTGTAAGCCGTTCCCGCAGTTCACCTCCTTTCACAGAGTTATTCATTACAATCTTATTATCCGAATGCGAAAGTTGTTCAGCTTTCACGACTACCGCTTTTTTTGCAGGGTGCAACAAGGAAGGGTCTTTGCTTTTCTTCGTCCCTTTACGTGAAGCGATCCGACAACTTCTTGTCGCGTGCCTGTGAGATGATGGGCTTGCGGTGCGCTCTGTCATTCGGCGCTGCAGCAGTATCCGAGTGTAGGTGAGCAAACGTGGCTGAAGTGTTTCTTATTGAACTGCATGCAGCATATAGTGTTGCGCTGCGCCATTTAGTTAGTGGGTAACCACTGCCATCGACTCTGCTCATTCTGTCAATGCAAGGACACACCGAGCAACTGGGGCACTCCGCCCATCGGAGGCTGGTCGGACACGCTTGCTGGAAGAGATGGGTCATGGTGCAGTGGATAACTCAGAGGTTCGGTTGTGGTACGCTGGAATATTTACAAGTGCACATGTATCTATGTACGCGCATCCATAGTCAGAGAGATATAGAGATAATGCAAGAGAGAGAGAGAGAGAGTGGGAGGGAGGGAGAGAGGGAGAGGGATTCACATGTGTACATAGTTATATGTGTATATACGGGTGTACAGATACACATATATATATATATAGAGAGAGAGAGAGAGAGAGAGAAAGAGAGAAATAGAGCATCGGTTAGCACCAGTACATACATCAGCAAACACAAAGTTGCATACACTCGCTTGCTTCCACTGGTATATGTATTGATCCTGATTTGCTTTGATATGCAGAGTCACCGGCAGATAATTATGGGTGTATTGAGAGAGGGAGCGAGATCGATTGGGTGTTCAAATATAATCCGTAAGGGCTTCGCCCCCTGCTGCTGGCCCCGTTTTTCGGAGAATGAGGCATGCAAGAGTTCTGTTGTGAGGCCTGGGCGCTGTTGTGAAGCAGCGTCGGAACTCCGAACGGGGGGCCACTGGAGAGATTCAGGTGCCTTGCAGATGTTGGCCTCTTGGGCCCCTCTTGGGGGTGCTCTTGGAGCGCTCTTGGGGGCCTCTTGGGAGCCTCTTAGGCGTCTTGAGACCATCTTGGGCGCCTGGGAGCACTCTTGGGCCGTCTCAGAGGCTTCTTGCACCGTCTTGAGAGCCTCTTATGAAGGATTGTGGCCTCGAAAACGACTGCATAGTTTACGAGGGTTTATGACTTCGGGGACGCGAAGAACGCTTAATTTACAAGGGATCGTGGCTTCGGAGATGCAAGCATCGCATATTTCACAAGGAGTTGGGGTCTCGTGAGCGCGAATCCAGTGTAATGTACGAGGGTGTATGGCCTCGGGGACGCGAACATCGCGTGATTTACTAATGATTAAAACCTCGGGGGCGCGAATACGGCATGCTTGACGTTGGAATATGGTTTCGCAGACGCGAGCCCCATGTATTTCCCAACAAACCTGTGTTGTTGGGTCCTCGTTTTGAAGAGACGGTCCCCGCGTTCTCCTCTCTTCCTCTCCTCCTCCCCCTCCTCCCCTCCTCCCCCTCTTCCTTGCATGTCACCCACCCAGTACAGCGTTTCGTAGCCCCATAGGGGGCTCCACCGAAGGCCCCAGTGCCACCGTCCACATGCGTCCCCCCCCACTCAGTACAGCGTTTCGTGGCCCCATAGGGAGCTCCACCGAAGGCCCCAGTGCCACTGCCCACATGCGTTCCCCCCACTCAGTACAGCGTTTCGTGGTCCCATAGGGAGCTCCACCGAAGGCCCCAGTGCCACCGTCCACATGCGCCCCCCCACTCAGTACAGCGTTTCGTGGTCCCATAGGGAGCTCCACCGAAGGTCACAGTGCCACCGTCCACATGCGTCCCCCCCCACGCAGTACAGCGTTTCGTGGTCATGCATAGGGAGCTCACGAAGGTTCGTGCCAGCCACATGCGTCCCCCCCATCAGTACAGCGTTTCGTGGTCCCATAGGGAGCTCCCCCGAAGGCCCCAGTGCCACCGTCCACATGCGTCCCCACCACTCAGTACAGCGTTTCGTGGTCCCATAGGGAGCTCCACCGAAGGCCCCAGTGCCACCGTCCACATGCGTCCCCCCCGCTCAGTACAGCGTTTCGTGGCCCCATAGGGAGCTCCACCGAAGGCCCCCAGTGGCCACCGTCCACAGTGCGTCCCCCCCACTCAGTACAGCGCTTCGTGGCCCCATAGGGAGCTCCACCGAAGGCCCCAGAGCCACCGTCCACATGCGTCCCCCCACTCAGCACAGCGTTTCGTGGCCCCATAGGGAGCTCCACCGAAGGCCCCAGTGCCACCGTCCACATGCGTCCCCCCCTCTCAGTACAGCGTTTCGTGGCCCCATAGGGAGCTCCACCAAAGGCCCCGTGCCACCGTCCACATGGCCCACTCGTACAGCGCTTCGTGGCCCATTAGGAGCTCCACGAGCCAGTTTGCCCGTCCACATGCGTCCCCCCCACGCAGTACAGCGTTTCGTGGCCCCATAGGGAGCTCCACCGAAGGCCCCAGTGCCACCGTCCACATGCGTCCCCCCCACTCAGTACAGCGTTTCGTGGCCCCATAGGGAGCTCCACCGAAGGCCCCAGTGCCACCGTCCACATGCGCCCCCCCCACTCAGTACAGCGTTTCGTGGCCCCATAGGGAGCTCCACCGAAGGCCCCAGTGCCACCGTCCACATGCGTCCCCCCACTCAGTACAGCGCTGCGTGGCCCCATAGGGAGCTCCACCGAAGGCCCCAGTGCCACCGGCCACATGCGCCCCCCCCCCACTCGTACAGCGTTTCGTGGCCAGCACGAAGGTTACGAGTGCTACCGTCCACATGCGTCCCCCCCACTCAGTACAGCGTTTCGTGGCAACATAGGGAGCTCCACCGAAGCCCCCAGTGGGACCGTCCGAGTGCGTCCTGAAACATTCAATTTGGCAGTTTCACATACCCAGTACATCGTTTCGTGGCCCCACAGGGAGCTCCACCGAAGGCCCCAGTGCCACCGTCGGCATGCGTCCCGCACACCCAATGTAGCATTTTCACCCACCCAGTGCAGCGTTTCGTGGCCCCATAGGGAGCTCCACCGAAGGCCCCAGTGGGACCGTCCGCAAGCGTCCCGAAATACCCATTGTGGCATTTTCACCCACCCAGTCCAGAATTTCGGGGCCCCGTAGGGAACTCCACCGAAAGCCCCAGTGCCACCGTCCGCATGCGTCCCGGCAGCCCAATACAGCGTTTCGTGGCCCCTTAGCGAGCTTCACCGAAGCCCCCAGTGGGACCGTCCGCATGCGTCGTGGCCCCTTAGCGAGCTTCACCGAAGCCCCCAGTGGGACCGTCCGCATGCGTCCCGGAAGCCCAATTTGGCATTTTCACCCACCCAGCACAGCGCTTCGTGGCCCCATAGGGAGTTCCACCGAAGCCTCCAGTGGGACCGTCCGCATGCGCCCCGGAAACCCAATTTGGCATTTTCACTTACCCAGTATAGCGTTTCGTGGCCCCATAGGAAGCTCCACCGAAGCCCCCAGTGGGACCGTCCGCATGCGTCCCGGCAACCTTACTTGACACACCACTCACCCAGAACAGCGTTCCGCCCCACCAGTGCAGCACTTCGTGGACCCATAGGGAGTTTCACCGAAGAAGATTTTCACAATTGCGGTACCCACAACTGCATATGGTTGGGTCTTTCGCCAGGATAATTTTATGTACCCCACGACCCCCCAAGAACTTTTGAGAACACCTCCCAGGTGGTGGTAACCTTGGCCCTTTTCGGTTCCCCCTCGCGCGGATTTCAACAGCTCACAGTAGGAGGCAGAAAGCAGGCTTATCACACTGGAGACTGGAAACTGGAACTGGTTCAGGGAACAATTGGTGGCCCCACAAGGGGGCCAGCGGATATGGCAGGTTCTTCGTAAACGCTCCTTCTGACAAGTCGGGGGTTTGATCAACTGCCGTAGTTGGTGCCTGATGGCTTCCAGCTTCATCGGGCGAGTTTTTTTGGGGGCGGTTTTGGGTGCCATGCAGTCTTTCGTGATAAGATCGACAGCGCGATCATTTTCGCTTTGCTTTTCAGCTTTGGAGAGGTTTGGCAGCCATGTCGAAGGCAGAGCCAACGCCAACGCCAAGGCAGCTCAGGAGTCGCCGCTCTCAGGATCGGTTCATTTCCAGGAGCCCAGACTCATGAGCCACATCGGCAGAAGTCGGCGGCGCCGCCCAGGGGGGAATGCAGAGGGGGTGGGCCTTCTCGAAGGGCTCAGAAGGCCTTTGGGCTTCTGAGGAGCCTTCGGAGCCTTCTCCGAAGCCAGGGACGGCTGCTCAGAAGGCTGGAGGGTTTCTGAGAACCCCGCCGCCATCGAGAAGGTACGCCCCAGCTCACTTCCCCCCTGGGCGTGTCGCCGACGAAGGTGTCGCAGCCAACCTGCGCGGCCTCACGGCTCAGGAAGACTCCCCGTGGAAAACCGCCACATCAGTCCCTGCATTTTTGTAGCCCCAGGCTATCCGTCGCCGCCACACACTTGAGCATCGAGTGAAGTATTCAACTCACTTGCCGTTGTGCAAAGAGCCTCCTGAATGCTGACTGTGAGCGTAAGGGCCTGGACGTCCACAGGAGTCCTGGGCGAAGGCTTTCGGCGAGAGCGCCGCCGCACCCTCGCTCTTATCCGCAAGTGCGGGTTGCCACGCAGACAGGATTGATACGGGAGGTTCATGCGGCGATGGCGCGCTGGCGACGCCGGCGAAGGCGTTCAAGGTTGAATTCCGCACGATGCAGCGACGCGGAAGCACCGAGGGACGCGGTAACGCCACAGGACCCGACGGGATTCAACCCTGAACGATCGGGGTGGCGATCGGTCTAAGGTTGAATGATCGACGCGGTGTCCAAAACCTGTGCGCGATCCGACGCCTTGTGAACCTAGGAGGAGGAGGAGGAGGAGGAGGAGGAGGAGGAGGAGGAGGAGGAGGAGGAGAGAGGAGGAGGGAGGGGGAGGAGGGAGGAGGGAGGAGGGAGGAGGAGGAGGGAGGAGGAGGAGGGAGGGGGAGGAGGGATGGGGAGGCGCGTAGCCGAGGTAGGAGAAGTAGGGAGGAAGGAGGAGGAGGAGGGAGCAGGGGGGGGAGGAGGAGGAGGGGATGGAGGCGGAGGGCACGACGAGGACGCTGCCCTCTGGGCACGCACGCTGGCGTCGCCGCCTTCGCCCCGCGCCGGGCCCCCGCCCCCTCGGCGCACCTCGGCGAGGCTCCACGCCGCAGCTGGGCGGCGCAGGGGCGATGCTCTCGGACGGGCGCGTCCCCCCCGCCGCCGCGCCGCGGCCGCCGCCGACGGCAGCGGCGCTCCTCGTCGTCCCTCGTCGTCGTCGCCCTCGTCGTCCTCGTCGTCGTGGTCGTCGTCGTCGTCGTCGTCGTCGTCGTCGTCGTCGTCGTCGTCTTATTCCTCTTCCCCCCTCGTCGTCCCCCCTCCTCTCCCCTCCCCTCCCCTCGGCCTTTGGGGAGGGCATGTGCAGGGCTCCTGCGGTAAGGCTTTGGTTCGGGCCTCCCGCCTCCTTTCACATGTCACCTGACAGTTTCCCATGGCATGGCCGTCAAGCCTCTCCGGTTGAGCCATGGCGCGGAAGCAGGTCCTCCCGTGAAGCAGCGCAGGGCTTGGCATGGCACGGGGTGCCAGGAGCGCGGAGCGGGACACGCCCGCTCTCACAGCACCCCCAGAAGAGCAGCACCCCCGCGAACGTTTTGGATCAAGGAGCGGATGGCGGATGCGGGGGTCACCCGCGCCCAGGCCCCTGGAGGGCGGTCGGGCTCGCTGAGAGGCACGCGCGAAACGGGCACGTGCAGAAGCGACACGACGCGGCATGCTCATCGACCTCTTCGGGCCGGGCCCCGGCGTCCAACTGCTCCTGCGCGGACGCCTGGATGTTCCAAGTGGCACGTGCAGCGCGTGAAACAGAGATCCGATGTCGTGTTTTTTCAATACGGGGTCCCCGGAAGTCTCGACCCATTCCCCAGGACCGGCTTTCCATCCCGAGCCGTCTTCTGACGGACCCGAGGCCCGGCGAGGGCCCCCAGGAGCCGAACTGTGCGACAAAGCTCCGTCTTGACTTTCTCAGCACGCTGGATCTCCGGGCAAGTGCAGGGGCGAGCGCAGGCTCGCCCCACCTCCGTGGCCCGCCGCCGCCGCGAGGGCCGCCGCCCACCCGCGGCGGCTGGGACGTCGGCTCCCGGGCCCTCGCCTGGCGCCGGCACGCCCCGTGCCTCCATGGGGCTCGGGGCCCGCCACGCGCGGGGAGCCGATCGCTTGCGGCGGAGGCCCGGGCCAAGAAGCACCCTGCTTGCCTCCAGGGTGGCCTGGGTTTCTTGGGCGTCGATGGATTTTTTCGCGATGGGGGGCGTGACGTTGCCACACCATGAGTCCATGGGCGTCCTGGGGTCTCGGGGCTGGGCTTCTTGTGGGAGGCTTCTTGTGGACTGGCCTCCACTCTAACTCACGTGCGTTTCAGAGGCTGGTGGAGATGCCCGACGACATGTCAGATTTGTCATGGCGCCAACATCGCAGAGCGGATTTCGTTAGGAAGACAGGATGGGCCCGGGTGTCCTGGAGAATTTCGTTGCAGATTTCGACGTGAAGTCCGTGCGGTTTTTTGGGGGCCAAGAATGAAATCAAATTCATGTGAAATTCACTTCGTTTTTCGCTTGCCGTTTCGGGGTTTGAATTGACAGAAATCCACGCAAAAATCCGCCGGAGCATGTCTGCAAGGTCGGTGCAGTGAGATTTGGGATGAGAGATAGAAGACCGCTGTGGAGTCCTGCGCAGTACTCCGACTCCGTGGCTGGCAGCCAACTGGCACCAGTCCCAAGCCCTCCCCTCCCTCCTCCTCCTCCTCCCTCCACTCCCCTCCCTCCCTCCCTTCCCCTCCCTCCCTCCCTCCCTCCCTCCCCCTGTAGGCTGCAGGCTGTAGTCGTCGTCAGATCCTGGCGCTGGCTGGCCCCCCTGTGGCCGCGCCCTGCCACCAGGGAGGGCGCAACACCGAAAGGAAGCGTCCAGGTCGGAGCACGAGAGGAACGAGAGGGGGCGGCGCGAGAAGAGGTGGCGAGGCCCCCCCCATGGAGTGGCCGAAGGACAGGAGACGGCGGGAGAAGAGGAGGCGATGGCCCCCCACGGGGACCGAAGGCACTGCACCTTTCGGGGGCAACATCAGAGAGGATAGGCACAGGGGAGGGTACATCGACCTCGAATGGTTGGCATCGTTGATGTCGGGGCGATGCATCTTAGATGTATAGGCGATGCATGGTGCGGTCCGCATCGACGATGTATCGGTGCATCCCCCCTGTGCCCATCCCCCGCTTTCGTTGCCTCTCGGCCTTCTCGGGAAGGAGGAGGAGGAGTAGGAAGAATAACAATGAATACGATTATGAGTACTAATAATCGTAGTAATAATAAGAAGACGAATACTAATAATGACAAACATAATACAACTGATACGAATACTAGGATTACTAATATGAAGAAGACGAACACTCATACACATAATAATACCACTAAGCCAAATATAATAGTACTCTTTTGAACACTCTTAGTACTAACCTTATTATTGATACTATAGCTATTATTGCGACTACTACTACTACTACTACTACTACTACTACTGCTACTACTGCTACTACTACTACTACCACTACTAGTACTGCTGCTACTACTACTACTACTACTACGACTACTACTACTACTACTACTACTACTACTACGACTACTACTACTACTACTACTACTACTACTACTACTAATATACTACTATACTACTAGACAGTAGTACTGTACTAAGTTACTCCCTAGTACTGAGTACTGTACTAGTATACTAGTACAGTTACTAGTACTAGTACTGTACTACTACTACTACTACTTACTCTAATACTACTACTACTACTACTACTACTACTACTACTACTACTCCGACTACTACATTACATACTACCACTATATCGGCTGCTACTGCTAATACTACTACTACTACTACTACTACTACTGCTAATACTACTACTACTACTAGTACTACTACTACGACTACTACTACTACTACTACTACTACTGCTGCTGCTGCTACTACTACTACTACTACTACTACGACTACTACTACTACTACTACTACTACTACTACTACTACTCCTACTACTACTACTACTACTACTACTACTACGACTGCTGCTACTACTACTACTTCTACTACTATTACTTCTTCTTCTTCTTCTACTACTACTACTACTAATACTTACTACTACTACTACTGCTGCTGCTGCTGCTGCTACTACTACTGCTAATGCCAATACTACTAATAATAATAATGGCAATACTAGTACGCGTAATACTATTATTAATTATATAGTAATGATAATACGGAAATAACAATAATAATATACTAGTAATACTAACAATAATATTAGCAACCTGCTAATGATCAGGATACGACGAAGCACATTAACACAACTAATACTACTAATGCTAAGGCTAGGGAGCTACACAAGGCGAACCACCATACTAAGGATAATAATAATATGAGGAGGAGGAGGAAGAGGACGGGAACACTAATAAGACTAATACTGCACATAGTAAGAATAATGAAAATAATGATAAAAGAATACGAATATCAATGATAAACATACTAATCAAAAGGAAGACGGCGAATAACAATCCGAACACTATTAATAATAAAAAGAAGAAGACGAACAATAATAATACGAATAGTAAGAAACATAATAATGCACTTTAGACGTGGTATAACTAAATATAATCATCCTAATACTAATAAGAATAATATACGATACTACCAAGACATAGCTAATACTAATATTAATATTAATAGTAAAGTACTCGAGTACATAATACAGAAGAAGAAGGAGGAAGGAGGAGTTAGGGAGGAGGCGGAGAGGATGAGGAGAGGAGGGAGGACAGGAGGAGGGGGAGGAGGCAGGAGGAGGAGGAGGCGGAGGCGGAGGCGGAGGCGGAGGGCGGAGGCGGAGGAGGAGTAGGAGGGATGAGACGGAGGAGGGGAGGAGGAGGCACCCTCCCACGCGGCCAGCGGAGGCACGGTATGGACTTCGCCGCCTTCGGCGGCGCCTGGCCCCCGTACTGGGCGGGCGCCTGGGACCACCAGGCCCCCCCCCCCCGTGTGCGCTGCCCCCCCGCCGCTGCTCCGCCGCGGCAGGGCTGCGCAGCCCTGCAGCTTTGCGGCGCTCGCAGTCCCCGTCCTCCGCCGTCCCTTCTCTGCGCCCATCCTCCTCCCTCGTCTTGCTTTCCTCCCTCCTCCTCCTCCTCCTTCTCCTCCTCCTTTTCCTCCTCCTCCTCCTCCTCCTCCTCCTTCTCCTCCTCCGTCCTCCTCCTCCCTCAGCAGCCGCCGCCGCCGCCTCCTCCTCCTCCTCTCCTACCTCCTCCTCTCCTCCTCCCCTCCACTCCACCTCCCTCCTCCTCCCTCCTCCTCTTCCTTCTCCTCCTCCTCCCTTCCCCTCCTCCTCCTCCTCCCCCCCTCCTTCCTCCTCCTCCTCCTCCCTCCTCCTCCCTTCTCCTTCTCCTCCTCCGCCTCCTCCTCCTCCTCCTCCGACCTCCTCTTCCTCTCCTCCTCCTCCTCCTCCTCCTCCTCCTCCTCCTCTCCTCCTCCTCCTCCTCCCTAGTCCCTCCTCCTCCTCCCTCCTCCTCCCCCTCCTCTCCTCCCTCCTCCCTCCTCCCTCCCCTCCCCTCCCCTCCCCTCCCCTCCCCTCCCCTCTTTTCCTCCTTCTCCTCCTGCTCCTCCATTCCGTTTCTTTATACATATCTCCGCGCTTTCGCACCCCGAGGCCGGTCGAACGGGCGGACTGGGCGTTTCGCCTGAGACTTCACCATCACGATTTTGATGCTGAAACATTGGCAACAGTTTCACAGATTGAGGGCGGGTCGTTTTGAACATGTGGCTCTCGCCGTAGCGCCGCGCATATTCCTTTTCAAAGGTGCAAGAGTTTCACGGATTGCGGGCGGGCCGTCTTCAAAATGTGGCCCTCGCCTTGGCGTCTCGCACATTAGCTGTTGACGGATTGACGGCGGATGGTTTCAACATGTGTTTCTCGCTGTAGTTCCGCGCGCATTCGCTTTCAACATTTGCAAGAGTTTGACATATTGAGGGCGGGTCGTTTTCAACATGTGGCTCTCGCCTTAGCTCCGCGCACATTCCTTTTCATAAGTTGCAGAAGTTTTGCGGATTGAGGGCGGTTCCTTTTCAAAATGTGGTTCTCGCCGTAGCGCCGCGCACATTTGTTAAAACAATTGTAACAGTTTCACGGGCTTGCATGTTCAACGTGCTAGAACTGATGTTTTGAACGGACTCAGAATTGTGAGGGCGCAGCAGTTACACTGATTCGCGGTGTTGAAGTCCAAGGGATGGTGTTCCGGCACGATTCGGGATCGTCAAGACGCAAGAGTCATGTTGATTCGTAGCGTTGGAGTCCCGATAAGTTTGCTTTGCCACGATTCAGGGTCTTCGAGCGGTTCCCTCCCAGCGAGGCAGTTCCCTCAGTGGAAATGAGCCTTGGTATGGGGCCTATGAAGAGGGAGCTTGGAGGGAGCGTTCATTCCAACATCATTTATGAGTCTTGGGTTTACACTAGTTCTTCTCCTCCTCATTTTCCTCCTCCTCCTCCTCCTCCTCCTACCTCCTCCTACCTCCTCCTACCTCCTCCTCCTCCTCCTCCTCCTCCTCCTCCTCCTCCTCCTCCTCCTCCTCCTCCTCCTCCCCATACCACTCCACTTTGAAGGTCCATAAAGGGGGCTCCCTGTGACGTATCGAGGCCGCCCGAGCCGCAGGCGAGGCCAGGTCCACGCGACGCGCTCGGCGCGCCCGCGCACAGGCCGCGGATACGAGCAGCGTGCCGGGGGGGCAGGAGGGTGGGCCCATCACTCCTCCTCCTCCTGCTCCTCCTCATCCTCCTCCTTCCCTCTTCCTCCTCCTCCTCCTCCTTCCCTCTTCCTCCTCCTCCTCCTCCTCCTCCTCCTCCTCCTCAGCATCATCATCCTCCTCCTCATCATTATCCTCCTCCTCCTCATCCTCATCATCAGAAAGAGCGTGTTCTACCATTGCTGGCGGAAAACCGGAGGGGGTCACTACCGGTTCGACCCCCCCCCCTCCTCTCGAAAACCGGGGGGGGGTACTACCAGTTCGAACCCCTCCCCCCCAGTCCATCATGAAAAGGGGGGGGTCAGGTCACTACTGGTTCGAACACCCCCCCCCTCGAAAACCGGGGGGGGTCACTACCGGTTCGAACCCACCCCCACCTTCGCCGCTGGCAAACGATCCCCGCTCGGGACAGTTGGACAATGGTGGGGATGCTGGGACAGTGGTGGGAACGGTGGTGGTGGGGACAGTGGTGCGGGGACAGTGGGACAGTGGTGAGGACAGTGGTGGGGACGGTGGTGGTGGGGAAAGTGGTGAGGGGACAGCGGGACAGTGGTGGGGACAGTGGGACAGTGGTGGGGACGGTAGTGGCGGGGACAGTTGTGAAGGTGGTGGTGAGGACTGTGGTGGGACAGTAGTACAGTGGGGAAAGTGGTGGGGACAGTGGGGACAGTGGGCAGTGGGAGAGTGATGGGGACAGTGGGGACGGTGGGACAGCACAGTGGGACAGCGGCGGGGACAGTGGGACAGGGGGGGGGGGGTTCGAACCGGTAGTGACCCCCCACGGTTTTCTGAAGGGGGGGGGGTTCGAACCGGTAGTGACCCCTCTCGGTTTCTTGGGGGGGGGGTCGAATCGGTAGTGACCCCCCTCGGTTTTCTGGTGGGGGGTGTTCGAATCGGTAGTGACCCCCCTCGGTTTTCCGAGGGGGGGGGTGTTCGAACCGGTAGTGACGTGACCCCCCCCGGTTTTCTGGAGGGGAGGGGGGTTAGGGGGAGGGAGTGGTTTTGCCGGGAGGGAGGGGGGGGGTTCGGCAGAGGGGGGGGGGATTTTTGGAGGGGGGGGGGGAAGACCCCCGGGTTCCGGAGAAAGAGGGGGGGGAATTTTCCATAGTAAAGCGGCGGTGGATTACGCTCTCTCCATCATCATCATCATCATCATCATCATCATCATCATCATCATCATCATCATCATCATCATCATCATCATCATCATCATCATCATCATCATCATCATCATCATCATCAGTCCCTCCTCCTCCTCCCCCCTCCATCCCCGATCATCATCATCATCATCATCATCATCATCATCATCATCATCATCATCATCATCATCATCATCATTATCATTATCATTATCATCACCATCACCATCACCATCACCATCACCATCATCATCATCATCATCATCATCATCATCATCATTATCATTACCAATATCATTATCATTATGATTATCATCATCATCCTCATTCTCATCCTCATTCTCATCATCAGCATCATCATCCTCATCCTCATCCTCGTCCTCATCCTCATCCTCATCCTCATCATCAGCATCATCCTCATCCTCATCCTCATCCTCATCCTCATCCTCATCCTCTTCCTCATCCTCACAATCCTCATCCTCATCCTCATCACCATCAGCATCATCATCATCACCATCATCATCATCAGCCTCATCCTCTTCATCCTCCTCCTCATCCTCATCATCACCTTCTCCTCCTCCTCAATATCATCATCATCATCATCATCATCATCATCATCATCATCATCATCATCATCATCATCATCATCATTATCATCATCATCATCATCATCATCATGATCATCATCATCATCATCATCATCATCATGATGATGATCATCATCATCATCATCATCATCATCATCATCATCATCATCATCATCATCATCATCATCATCATCATCATCATCATCCTATCCTTAACTTCATCCTCCTCCTCCTCCTCGTCCTCCTCCTCCTCCCTCCCTCCCCGGGGGCGAGGATGGCGGAGGGTGGGCCCATCATTTACGTACACACCCATAAGGGGAGGCGAGGGAGGAGGAAGCGCGCCCCGGGTGGGTGGTTCCGGCTCGGGGCCCGGGAGCCCTTGCCGCTCCCGCGGGGCCCCGGCGCGCGCCCAGCGGCGGCCGGCGCCCGCCCGCAGGTGTGCGCCCCCAGGGCGGGGGCGCGGCGCCCCTCTTAACCTCAGGGCCCAGGCGCGTCGTGGCCGACGGCCGACGTCGCCCAGGCGTGATCCTGGACTGCAGCCGCCACGAGGTCGGGAATGGCAAAAAGGAGGACGACGAGTGTCGGCTTGGTGGCCCTGGTAGCCCGTCGCGCCGAGCACGATCTTGCCACCCTCGCGCAGGGGAGGCTCCGAGGGCCTCGGGGGCTTCGTCGGGGCCCCCGCCGCCCCCTCGGGGCCCTGGGCGCCCGCCCAGCGGCGGCGGCGGGCGCCCGAGGGCCGGGGCTTGGCGCCCCGGCGACCCCTCGGGCCCAGGGCGTCGCAGCCGACGTCGTGGGCCACGTCCTCGGCCCCGTGCTGGCGCAGCCGGGGCGCCCGGATCGAGGCGACCCGCGTCGCCTCGCTCGAGCGGCCGCCCCGACCGCCCCCGAGGGGGGACGGAGCCAACTCACCTGGGAGCCCCAGCCGCGACGGGCCCTGCGAAGTAGGCCCTCCGCAGGCCCCGTGGCCGCCCGAGACAACAATGGGCGACGTCAGTTTACAAGCTTTTACAAGCTTTTGGAATCTGCTCCTCCGCCCCCCTCCGTCCTTCTCCTTCATGTGCTTTTGTACTTGTGCATTGCGTTGCATCTCGTTTCGCTCAATTCGCCCACGCGTCCGCCAGGGGCGCGCGGCTAGAGTCGGCGAGTCCAGCCGCGACGCGCGCTGCACTTGGCACGGGAGCTCGGGTTCTGCCGTCGGATGTCCGATGCCCCCGGGGGCGGTGCGAACCTTCGTCCAAAGTCATTGTCGATCCTGGGGCAGATCGGCGCCCCACGTGTATCTCGCCCTGTGCCGCTTACGCCCCCGTGTCCTTGCAGCGCTACTGCATCCCTCCGTGTCGTGCTCGTCGACGGTGCGCTTTTCGCTGTCGGCGTTCTGGCGTGCGGCCGTCGCCAAACCGTTGCCGGCAGGTGGTGCCCCTGGGGAGCGGCAAGCCTGCTCCTGAGCGAGACCCACCTGTGGCTGGTACCCCTTGCGGAAATTCGCAAATCCCGAGCAGTGCGTACCGCAGTCGGCGCGACTGCCAGCAGCGTGGTGGCCTGGCCTCCTTCCCCTCCTCCTCTTCCTTCCTCCGCCCTCCCTCCTCCCTCCGTTCTCTCCTCACCTCCTCCCTCCTTTTTCCTTCCTCTCTCCCTCCTCCGCCCCCTTCCCCCCTCCTGTCATTCATCCTCCCATTTCAACCTCAACCTCCTTCCCTCATCCTCCCTCCTTTCACCTCACTCCTTGCCTCCCTCCCCCTTCTTCCCGTCCACTCCCTTCTTCTCCCCGAGACTCTTTCGTTGGGGCGGTCGAAAATCCAAACCCCTTCCCCTTCTTTCTTCGCCTGGTCTACTAGCAGGGGGATGGGCACTCCTCCCTGCGACTGGAGAGATCGGGGGAACCCAACGGTGGAGGTGTGAAACGACCGTCAAGCGTGAAACGAGTTGCAGAATAGGACACGGGGAAATCCGGGTAACTTCATCGAGGAAGTTTCAGGCGACCGCCAAATTCGGAAAGAGTAACGGAGTGGGAGATGCGGGGGTCGGAGGCACCGATTCCGGCCGGGTGCGGCAGGGTGCGACCGCGGACCGTGGGCCCCGTGGCGTGGCGTGCGCCGCCGCCGCCGCCGACGACGACGACGACGACGACGACGACGACGACGACGACGACAGAGACGACGACGACGACGACGACGACGACGACGACGACGACGACGACGACGACGACGACGACGACGACGACGACGACGACGACGACGATGATGGCAACGGCGTCGACGTCGGCGACAACGACGACGACGACGAACGACGACGACGGTGGCGGCGACGACGACGACGGAGACGACGATCGTGGAGGTTTCGCCGCCCGGGCCGCTGGCGCCGCCTCGAAAGGCCGGTGTGGGGCCCTCGCGCCGATCGCGGTGGCGCGGCTCCGAGATGTCGGCGATAGGCGTCCCGACAGAGAGCCCGCGCGTTCTTGAGCGGGGTGTGCTGTCGGGCCCCTTATCGGCGATGAATCGGCGATTGGGGGTCGATGCATCCCCACGCCTGGGCCCATTAACGCCCCTGACTGGCCTCGGTATTCGGTCGAATCTCGGGACTCTGGCGGCCCTTCGGGGAAGATTTGGGCAGCCCTGGACGCCTCTCGGCGAGGCGCCGCTGCTGGAGCGCATCTCTCCTCCTCTCTTCTCCCTCCTCTCGCTAGCTCTTCTGCCCGTCTGCCTCTCTCGCTCTCTCTCCGTCTCTGCCTGTCGCTCAGGCCTGGGCTGGCTGGCCACCAGGCGAGGGCATGGACGCCATGGCAGTTGCTCAGGCTGCCGCGCTTACCCTCCGGGGGGTAGAGACTCGGAGGAGGAGGAAAGGGGAGAGGGGGAGGAGGAGGGGGAGGACGGGCAGGAGGAGGAGGAGGAGGAGGAGGAGGAGGAGGAGGAGGAGGAGGAGGAGGAGGAGGAGGAGGAGGAAGTGGATGAGGAGGAGGGAGGAGGCGGAGGCGGAGGAGGAGGCGGAGGAGGCGGAGGAGGCGGAGGAGGCGGAGGCGGAGGAGGAGGAGGAGGAGGAGGAGGAGGACGAGGAGGAGGAGGAGGAGGAGGAGGAGGAGGAGGAGGAGGAAGAGCTGAGGCTGGCTGCGCGGTGGCACCGTGGCGTGTTGCAGGGGCGTTTCCCCCCCGTCCTATGGCTGCTCAACCTCGTCGCCTCTGTGCCTCTGTGCCCCCGCAAGTTCAGAGGATGGGGGTTTGCGTCGGGGGCTTGGCGTGCCTCACGGTTTGCTGGAGGAGCAGACGAATCGGCGGCGAGCTCAGGGGGGAAGCCAGAGGAGGCGGGCTCTCTCAGAAGGGCCCGAAGGCCCCCGGCCTTCAAGGCCCAGAAGGCCTCCGGCCTTCGGAGAGCTTCTTGGGCCCTCTCCAGGGATGGAGGCGGCTTCTCGGAAGGCCCGACGAGGGTTTCTGAGAAGCCCAGCCGCCTTCTGAGATTGCCTGCCCCCTCTCACTTCCTCCTCTCCTGGTCGCCGAGAGAAGCAGGAGTATGATGTGGAGGGGGAGGTCGGAACGGGAGTTTCCGGGATGGGCAGGGGAGAGTGTGGGTGGGGACGGGGGGCGGTGAGAGGGGCAAAGCGCAAGGGGAGGGGCGGCACCTCTATGCGGAAGAGGATGCCTGCCTGAGTTGTTCAGGGAAGAGCCGTCGAGCTCTTGATTGAGGGGTTAAGCATGCAGTTGCGAAAGTGTCTCACGCAGAAGATGTCGAAGTGCGCACCATGCTTGGCACGGGTCTTCACCAGGTCCACGAGCATGTGGTTGAGATGGTGGGAGTTCTGCGTGCTTGCGTCTATCATACAAATGCATGATCGCCGCGTTGATTGCTGCCCGACTGCGATGCCACCGAGCTGCCCCCGTGCCAGCGGGAAGGGAGCCAGAAGAGGGACGGCTGCAAGGGGCTGTGAGCGGGCGCGCGGAGTTCACACGGGGCCAGCATGCCGAGGCTGCGGTTCTCCAGAATACTTCCCCCCATGCTCCCCTCTTTGTCGGTGGCGCGAGCACGGTGGCGGTGCCAGATTGGCGGCAGTGGCGCTGCCTGCCGCCGCCGTGCTTTGGGACGCCACAGCGGTGCGCGCTCCAGAGGAGGGGCAGGCTCGGCCTGTCCCGAAGTGTCGATGGGCCGCTTCACGCTCACCCTGCTGCTTAGCCCTTCGCCTGCCCTCGTGCTCCCCCTCCTCCTCCTCCTCCTCCTCCTCCTCCTCCTCCTCCTCCTCCTCCTCCTCCCCCGTAATTCGCCATTTTGGCTGAAGTCAACAATTTCTCGAGGTGGCTTATAGAGAGCTCTCGCCCCCCCGCGGGCCGTCTTTTCACGGGCCACTCGCTTCATTGCGGGTGGCATTCCACATCAGGTTTCCTTTGTGGCTTGTGCGTGCTCTTCTCTCTCGTGCGGTATGGTTCCCCAGCGGCGAGCTGCCCAGGCGGAGCCCTGGTACTGCAAGTGGTGCACGCACAAGCCCAGCGGTACGCCATGGATCTATCGCGCGGATAAAAAGTCTTGTTCCATGTGTGGGTTGCCCAAAGGGTCGGCGTTTATGGGAGTCCCTCTTCCCAAGGCTCGTGTCAACCGCGCCGACACCCTCGTATCGGCTCGAGGGGAGGCCCTTTCGAAACAACTCTCCGTGTTGCAGCACAACATGGCCAAGCTGGGCGTGTCGCCACCTGCAGGCCCAGCATCACCGCCTCCTTGGCGCGAAAGTGATTGTGAGGCCAGTCCTAAGCGTGCTCGTGTTACCAAGTTGGGGCGCAGTATCGCAGTGCTGGACGATTCTGACCAGGCTATTCGTGACCAGCATATCGCCGAGAAGGAACGTTTGTCGGCAGAGCTGGCGGCTGAAACGCCGCAGGACGTCAATGTGGCCAGTCTCATCAGCAGGCTGCGGAACGCTCGTGCCAATGATGCGTCCCTGGTCACCAAGTTGGAGCAGGCTCAAGCAGCGGTGGGCGCTGCTAAGAATGTCGCCGAGCAAGTTCAGTCTGACAAGGCACAGTCGGGGCAGAGTATTCTGGTGCTCGAGGAGCAATTGCGGCAGGCTGTCGTCCCCATTGTCCCCGTGTGGTGTGTGGGTGGGGGTGGGGTGGGGTGGGGGTGGGGGTGGGGCGGCGAGCCTTCCCTCTGCGTCATCATTCCGGGGCTCGAGGCTACGATGCAGCAGTTCGATGCGGCGCTCAAAGCATTAGGAGGTTCTTCTGATTTGGCTTCTGATCTCCTGGCTATGGCGAACACAGCAGTTAGGCGGCTCGAGGAAGTGCCAGCCCCAGAGACACAGGCGCCCGCGCATCCTCCTGACGAGGTCCCCGTCGGCGAGGCCGCGGGTTCTTCCGCGCCTCCGCGCCTCTCGCCCAGCCTCAGCCGACGCAGGTGGGCGAGATGCTCGCAGCGGAGCAGGCGGCGGACCGCGGCGACAGCATGGGCGCAGCCACCGCGCGCGCTCATCTGGGGGCTTGCGGAGTCAGCGGTCAGCAGGCGCCCAAAGGAAGGTGAGGGGGGTGCAGGCGCTGCAGAGTGACGAGAGAGGCTCAAGCGGCATTTGCAGGTCACGTTCACGGTCTACAAGCGCATCAGGACTGGAGCGAGTAATAAGCGGTTGGGTGTTCGCTTTGGTTTTGTTGATGTTTGTGCTCGTTGTCGCAGTCATGATGCAGTCATGCGCGCGCAGTGGTGGCCCCTGCTACTGGGCCACGGAGTTTACGAAGTATCCGCGCGTCCCTCGACGATGACACGTTGGATCCCCTGGGGTGCCTGCAGAGGAACCTGGGCGCGGAGGTGAGACATCGCCCAATTCCCAAGGCATTGCGTCAGCGGGGGGAGGCCGCGACGTTCTTCATCATCCTGCTCTATCTCCTGCTGGACACATCCAGGGCGGCCTGCCTTTTCGTGGGTCCTGAAGGTGCTTCCTCTCGTGCAGTTTCGCGTTCCCTCGCCTGGGCTGGGGCGAGTCCGCCCGAGGAGGTTGGGGCCCCTCCTTCCCCCGCGGGGCCGCCCTGCCATGTTGGCTCGCCCACTTCGTCAGGGGGGTCTCGCTCAGCGGGGCGGGGCGGGGAATCGCTGGGGGCGGTGGCGGCCAGCCGTAGTGCAGTATGGGCGTTGGTTTCCGCGGCGTGGGGGTCGACGGCAGGTTCGCCGCCATCCATTTCGCTGTCAACGTCTATTGGGGCCTCCCATGCTGGGGCTACAGACCGCCCGCATGAGACAGTGGGGACCCCCCCCGCCTCTGCGGGCGCCGCGGGCCCAGTGGCTCGCCCACTTGGCCGCGCCGCGCCTGCCCCGCAGGTGGGGGCGAGGAATCGCCGGAGGCGAGAGCGGCCAGTCGCGGTGCAGCACCACGGTCGATTGCAGGCTCCTGTGCGTCAGTTTCGCCGTCCACTGCGACCGGGGCCGGGGTGGGGGAACGGGGGGCCGCCCAAGGGCGTCGGCCTCGCCCTCTGACCCCCGGCCTTGCAGCAGCCACTGGTGGCAGGCGCTCGGCCGGAGGGGCGGTTTACGCGGTCCATGCCTCTTGCCGTGGCCCGCTCATTGGCCTTCTTAGTTCCGCCGCGGCCTCAGCGGTCGCGGCCCAGGAGCATCGCGTGGACGCCGACAGCGTAGCAGACAAGCAGGTAGCAGTCGGCGACGCAGGCTACATAGGGCTCTTGGCCGAGGCTGTTCCCGACGAGAATGGGGGGGCAGGCGCTATTGGACGGCTGGCGGTGCTGGCCCATCACCGCCTCCCCATCGCGGCTTCACCGGGAGCGGCTTCGCATGTGCTAGCGCCAGGCAGGGTGGTAGCCGCCCACATTCATTCCTTTCGCCCTGGTGGCATCGTGTTCATGTCGGCTTATTTCAAGGACTCGGTTGGAATGGGGCCCCAGAGCGCCAACATTTTCTGGTTGTTCGTGGAGTTTCTGGCGCGCCCCAATGGTCAATGGGCGCCCTGGATTGTGGGGGCAGGCTGGGGCGCGCAGCCGGCGGAGCTTTTTCAGGCAGACTGGGCCCAGGCAATAGGTGGCACCCCACTGGGGTCTGCGGTGACCACTAGCCGCCAATCGGCGCCAGGGTCGGTGTATTTTTTTGGCCAGCAGCTGGCTAGCGCCTGTTCTGTTGCCTGGTGTGCTAGTGCAAGAAGATGCCTGCGCGTTTCTGCACCTGCCTGTATCGCTGCAGGCTGCTGACCGGGCTGGTGACATCTGGTCTCGCGCCTTGAAGCAGCCGCGCAAGTTTCCAGCGGCGCCCCCCATGGGCTGCGTCCGTTTCTTCCATCAACGTTGTGGCCCCGACCGTCCGAGTTGCCAGTGACCTGCCTGCCTCCTGCGATTTAGTCCTCGAGAGGGTGGGGCGGGAGCTGGCGGGGAGGTGGGGTGCTGTCGGGCGCGGGGCTGGAGTTTGCATTGGTGGGGCTGGCCCGCGGAGGTCCGACGGGAAAAGCTGTTTCGGTGTCTTCCCGAGAAGCGCACGTATAAATACCATTCTGCCGAGGCATCTGCCGCGGCGTTGACCTGGATCAAGCGCGCGGCGAAATGCAGGCAGTTTCTCACTGCGCAGATTGGCAAGCTACATGACGTTGATCGGGCGAGCCCAGAGCTGCCTGTGATGCGCGCCAAGTGTCTCCCTCATCTAGTCGAGTTCTCGCGCTTCGTGAAACAAGTTGTCGCCTTCGCAAAAGACCCTGAGAGGGCTCGACGTGGCCGCCCGCGCATTTCTCTTGTTGGGTTTGTCGTTCTTGCGCGCGCGGGTTTTGCTGAGGCAGCAATGAGTGTTTATGGTCGCGCCCGGGCTGCGGTCCAGAGGACTGAGCAAGCTGCAGCCAGCACCTGGCTGGCCTGGGCGAGGGGCCATTCCAGGTCTGGTGCGTCGCTGGCGCACCTCGTCGCCAAGATGTGCGCGGTGCAAGAAGTGGTGGCTGCAAAGGCCCAGCGCAGCCGTGCCAGCTGGCAGATGGCGCGCTGGCACAGTGGACTGAATTTCGGACCAAGAACGAAGCCAGGGAGCTCGAGCTCCCAGCTGATTATGTCAGCTGGCCCGCGTTGCCTCCCATCGGCGCAGATCAAGTCGAGGGCGTGGCCCACTCGTACTCCAGTGGGACTGCGGCAGGCCCGATGGGGATTCATCCGCGGGCCCTCGTCCATATGCCTACAGACGCGCATGCGGCCGCCGCCTTACTTATCAAAGAAAAACATGCGCGAGCAGCATTCGGCTTGGCCGACGGAGGCGCGAACGAGTTAGTGAGGTTGGCCAAGCCAGAGGGCGGCGCCGTCTGATTGCGCTGATCAATTGCTTTGACGAGTGTGGAGCAAACTCAGAAAACCCACCGCGTTGTTCGAGTGGCAGGCTAGCCACAATTGCCCATGAAGTGTGGGGCGCGCGTCGCCGTCGCAGTTTGACCGACAGTGCGTTTGCGCACAGCATCGCTGCCGAGACGGCAGAGTTGGTCGGGCAGTTTTCCATGTCAGTGCTGCTGGGTATAATGAAATGCTTCGAGATGGCTCGCGCCGAGTGCCTGCTCGAGCAGGCGCGCCCGTTGCAGTTCCCCGTCGGGCTTGTCTGGAAGTTGGCCGATTTGTACATGCAGCCGCGCAGGCGGAGGTGTTATGGAAGCGTTTCCGAATCGTTCTGTTCCCAGGAGGGCACCCTTGCAGGGTGCAGCCACGCAGTTGGCATGCTTTTTTTGGGGCCTTGAAGAGGGCCGGCAGCATTTCCCCAGGTGTTCATCACAGGGCCCTTGTCGATGACGTGTCGCTTCGGCTCATCACTGATGATGCACAGGACATTCCGTTGCTCGAGTTAGTGGTGCGCACCTTCACCGCTGATCTGTTTCAACTTGGGCTGTGGACGCAAGCCAAGAAGTCTGGCCTAGTGGCAGTCTTGAATGTAGGGCGCCGCTCTGCCAGTCGAGTCGCAAAGAGGCTGTCCATCCCTGTGCAGTTGTGGATGCGCAATCTAGGCCACGAGATCGCATCTGGGAGAGCTCGAAGAGTGCAGCAGAGGACGAGGAACCAGGCTCTCGTTAAACGTAGACGGACATTTTTGGCGTTGAAACATGCCACGGGAGCGAGTGTGGTCAGCTTTTTGGTGTGCTGGGGCCTTACCTGCAGCAGGCCATGGTGGAGCAGTCTCTGGAGTGGACGACAGCAGCATTCAGTTTTCCAGACAGTTCGCGGCGCTTCTCGCGGGATCCAAAGAAAACGGTGGTCATACAGCCTATGTGTTGATGCGCCCAGGTCCGCTGTGCGATCCGATCTACGACTGCTCACTGTTCATCGTCGTGAAGATCGCGTCGTTCGCCTGGGATGGCAGGTTGGAGCTAGGCAAGGCCCAGAGGGCGTAGTGAGGGGAACCCCGCGTGGGAACAAGCGTGTTGGTTACCTCTCTTGCGCATCAATTGGAATATGGTTAATGTGCACACGCTGGTGGATGACAAAGGACAGTATATTTCACTCCTGACCACCCCCCTTATGATGTGCGCCTAGCGGTTATTGAGGGCGCACAGAGGTGGCAGGTGTCACCCTATTACGGCACATGAAGGCGGCCCATGATGGGTCTGAGTATTCAGTGTGGTTCAGAACGCTACGTCATGGCATCTTGGGATTACGTTGTGGTCGACAACGAGGGGCTTTTGCCGCCGTCTGGGCACGTGTTTTTCCGCTTCCCGTTAACTTGCAGCACCTTGCAGCGGGCGCCCCCAATTTCTTGGCATGCGACGGCCCGGGCGGGTCAAATGGCCTCGTGGTGCTCCGGCCCCCAGCTTATCAGAGAAGACAGTGACGACCCGCGGGAAAATTCGATCCCTGACAGGTTGGCTGAGCACCGCAAGGCCCTGCTGAGCCTCTGTCTAGATGCCTGCGAGGTCTCGCGCGCGGACAAATTGTATCGCACTTGCGGAATCCCAAAGGCCCCTGCAGGAGTCAGGCCCCCGCAAGAGCGCCCTGTCGCCCTGTCGTTTGGGGGCTCCTCAGGGCGTCGGGGCTCTCGGGGTTTCTTAGACTGTAGTTGCCTCCAGAGCGCCGCCCCCGAGGTTGCCGGGGCTGGTTGGGTCTGTGTTCAGGTCAGTGAGGCCCTCCTCCCCGTCAGGGCCTCATATGAGGCCATGCTGGGCCCTGGGCAGACCATCGATATAGCGGAGCGATGTGCTTTTCGACAGGCATTGCAGGCGCACCCTGGTCACCAGGTACCCGTGTCGGATTTGCTTGCGGTTGCGCGCGAAGGGGGCGGGCGGGATGATGAGCGGGCACTTGGCGCGACCGAGCGCGCCGCCATCTGGAGATCCACCTTTGATTTGGCAATCCCCGCCATGCCGCAGTTCGTTCGGCGCCCCGCCCGGCGCAGTTTTGATGGCGTTGTTGTGCAGGGTGGTTGTCTGAGAACGTGGGCTGGGAACCTGTGGGCTGGTTTTTGTTTGCCACGCTGGGCGCTGATTCGCATTTGGTGCCGGAGGGGTTTGCGCGGGCGATGCCGCGGGGCAACTGGCGTGCCACAGGAGTGCGCTGCGTTTCCTTGCCTGGGCGTCCCAGGAGCTTTTGGCCGAGGGAGCTTGGGCGGTAGTGGACCCCTCTTGCCCTCTTCGGATCGTTTCCCCCCCAGCTCCTGCTACCCTTTCCGTCGCCTCCCATCAGTTGTGGAAGTCTCCAGCGGCAGATGAATGGAGGTGTCGCCTCTGTGGGGGGCAGGCCTATTCGGTCGCCCCCCTACGAGCGCTGGTCACGCACCATGCTAGCAAGCACTGCCAGGCAACGCCCGTGCAATGGCATGCGTGCGAGGCTTGGTTTGCTGGGCCTGTGGGGTCTACGTATGGTCGCGCGAGGGAGGAGACGGTGAAGGCTGCGTTGGGCCTGGCCGATCACGCCCTCGGGGGCGCGGGGGCGATTGACAGCCCTGCAGAGCCTGGCAGGACTGAAGCGTGTCCGTTCGCTGAGCTCGGGCACGCTGTGATAGCGTGTGCTGGTGCGTATGTTTGCGCGCGTTGTGGATCCCATGGGTCGATAGGATCGTTTCGGAACCTTGCGGTCACGTGCAAGGGACCCTCCATAGTTAAGTTCACCCTGGCGAGTCAGGAGCAGGCCGTTCGCCGAATTCTCAAGGGAGCACACCCCCGAAGTGGGGTGAGACTCCCAGCGGGACCGATGTTCCTCTGGGGGCCACTCTAAGTCGGAGGTTCGACCCCCTTGGGGTCTCGGAGAGGGGGGGGCTTCTGTCGTGTGGCCCAGGGCGCGGCGGCCGAGTTGCGTGAAGATAACGGTGCTTCCGCCTCGAGCCGCTGCGGCCCAGCTGGCGTCCCCCCCCTTCCTGGCCATTTTGGCAGGTCCGAGTGCGTGGGCGCCCTTGTCCCGCGCACTATACCCCCCAGGGGATCCAGACGATTCTGGTTAGCTGTTGCCTCCCCCCCTGGCTGGCGCGAAGGTTGCTTTGCGCGGCTGTGGGTGTGGTGGTGGGTTGGGGTCGCGGTGGCGCCTTGATTGCAGCGTTTCCCTTTCCCCTCCTGCCCCACGTCGCCCCTCGTGGCGCGCGGGGCTCTCGGCGGCGGCGTCGTTGGTCGCCTCGCCCCGCCCGCATGCGTCGGCCTGTTCAACGTGGCGGGCTCCTTCGGCCACAAGGCCGGGCCCTGGACCACCACCTCGAGTCTTGCCCCTTCGTGGTGGCGCAACGGCGTGCGCCTCCTCCCCTTCCTCCTCCTCCTCCTCCTCCTCGTCCTCGTCCTCCTCCTCCTCCTCCTCCTCCTCCTCCTCCTCCTCCTCTTCCTCTTCCTCATCCTCTTCTTCCTCCTCCTCCTCCTCCTCCTCGGCTTCCCTCCCTCCTCCCTCCCTCCTCCCTCCTCCTCCTCCTTCTTTCTCCTTTCTCCTCCTCCTCCTCCTGATCCTTATCCCTCCTTCTCCTCCTCACTCCTCCTCCTCCTCCTCTTCCTCCTCCTCCTCCTGCTCCTCTCTTCTTTCCTCCTCTCTCCTCCTCCTCCTCCTCCTCCTCTTCCTCCTCCTCCTTCCTCCTCCTCCTCCTCCTCCTCCTCCTCCTCCTCCTCCTCCTCCTCCTCACTCCTCCTCCTCCTCCTCCTCCTCCTCCTCCTCCTCCTCCTCCTCCCCCCCTCCCCTTGGCCCTGCGCCTGCCTTCGTGCTCCCCCCCCCACCCTCGCTCGTTCCCCGTGCCTCCGGGCGCGGGCTTTTGCGCTCCCAGACAGCGTTTGCATTTGCACGCCGCGCCTTGCCAGTCGGGCCGCCCTGGAATCAGGGAGGGCCCATCGACGCCCTGCTTCGGCGGCGCGCCCTGGGGGGAGAAGCGAGAGGGGGCGGGCCTTCGCAGACGGCGGCGGGGAGGAGGAGCGAACGAGGAACGCAGGCAGGGTGGGGGGGGAGCGCGAAGGCAGGCGCAGGGCTAAGGGGAGGAGGAGGAGGAGGAGGAGGAGGAGGAGGAGGAGGAGGAGGAGGTAGGAGGAGGAGGAGGGAGGAAAAGGAGGAGGAGGAGAGGAGGAGGAGGAGGAGGAGGGAGGAGGGGGAGGAGGGCGGAGGCGGAGCGGAGGCGGAGGCGGAGGCGGCCGGCGGCGGCGGCGGCGGAGGAGGAGGAGAGGAGGAGGAGGAGGAGGAAAAGGAGGAGGAAAAGGAGGAGGAAGGAGGAGTTGGAGAGGGGGAGGAGGAAGAGGATGTCATTGTTTTGCCGATCGGCGCGGGCCCTCGCACCCCCCTGTCCCCCCTGCCCCCGCCGACCAGATCTTGGCTGTCTGGGCGCCTGTCTCAAGCAGGTGGAACATCCCCCAGGGAACGTACCCCAGGAGAGGTCCAGGCAGTAGCGGTATCGGTACTTTTGGGTTTCCCCATTTTTGCGCATGTCTGTTGCAAACAGTCGCACTAAACAGGGTCCAGAGCCAGACGCCCCCCCCTCCCCTCCGTTTCCGTCCGTCCAGTGTCGAAGCGCCGAAGAAGAAAGCGTTCACACGCCGCCTCCGTCTTCGGAGATGGCCCACGAAACTTCGCAGAAGGCCGGAGGCCTCCTGGCCCTGCCGAGAAGGCCCGCCCTCTCTGGCTCCCCCCCTGGGCTCGCCGCCGGCTCGGGGGCCTCGCCCAGGAGGGCGAGCACACCGTGCCAGGGCCCACGGACGGCCCTGGCGCGTGGCATCGTGGTGGCCAGGTGCCCCCCCCCTTGCGGGGCCCTCTCCTGGCCCCTCCTGCCCGCGCCCCCCCTCTCGGGGGCGAGGCCCATATCCGAATCCCTATCCGCAGACATGCCCGCGTCGTGCAAAAACCAGGTCGGCTGGTTCTTCGCCTTCTTCGGCCCCTGGGAGCCCTTGACCGGGCCCCGGCACCGTCAAACAACGACTCGGGATGACAAGCCGGTCCCAGGGAGAAAGGGTCGGGATTTCTGGGAGCCGCGTGCTGACAAAAAGCAGGACGTCGCACGTCTGGGTCCGTCTCCGCGGCCTCGCGGGCCAGGCCCCTGGGCCGCGAGCCCGCGGATGCGGGGCGCTTTTTCGGCGGATGCCCCGCGCGGAGCGCGCCCGTGCGACCGCTCCTCCGCGGGACCGCGCCCCAGAATCTAGGCTGCGAGGGCGGCTCATACGGCTACGTTGCGGCTATGTTCGCCGCTCGCGACTCTCGGGGAATTCCCTTGGTTTAGAAAATCCAGATTTCGCGAGGGACCGGTTACCCCTCCAGAACAACCGAAACCTCCGAAACCCTTTGGAAACCCTCCCGGAAGGTTTCGGGGAGCTTCTTCGGAGGGTCCTGGAAGGGTTTCAGAAAGGTTTGGGTCGTATTCTGGGGAAGCCAGTCGCTAGAGAACCCTTGGCTTTCTACCTCTTGGTCGGCGTCGCCCAAGCATGCTAATACGATGTGTGCGTCGCCCAAAATGGGAGGACGCGCGCCGAGAAATCTTATGGTATATCACTGAGCGCGTTCCACTACTTGTAAAGTGCCTACTCGCAAACGTCCGAAAAACATATTTTGGTTTCGACGAACATGCCGTAGATCCCCCGCGGCGGATCCAGGCCATTTGAGAGCAGTTACTTTGCGAGTAGTGGAACGCGCTCGTCTAATTCGCCGGCCCAACGGGCCAGAGGCGTGCTAAGATCTCCGGTAACTTGTTAACAATATTTCTAGTTCGCGCGCGCGGAGCGGCCCCTGGGGCCCCCCGGACGAAAAGTACCCCGGCAAGGTCCCGAGAGAAGCCCGGGAGAAGCCACCAGACCACTCCAGGGGAGGGTATTTTTCGACACCCCTCACGAGGATCGTGGCCTCCGAGGGGGGAGCCGCAATCGACTACCCCCAAGAGCCCCCCAAGAGGCCCTGGGGGCCTCCAAAACGCCGCCAAGGAGCCCCAAGAGACTCCCAAGAGGTCCCCAAGAGGCCCCCAAGAGGCCCTAAAGAGGGCTCCAGGGCCGGCGGCATGAGCGAAGCGATTTAATATAAGCTCCATGCCCAGCGCTTTCTGGCCATACCGCGCGGGAAACGATGCACTACAAGATGTTTGTATCATCTGTTTGGGTCGGACGCAAGCCTCCGAGGAGGACACATAGTGCTATGTCCTTTTGCGCCCCAAAGGAGGCAAACGGAGAAGGATGGGCGGGCGCTGCTTTCATTTTCTGCTGACCCATCTCGCCCTCCACCTCTTTCGAAGAAGTGAAAGTGGCACAAGCATAAATTGTTGGAGCTCCGCGCGGAGTTTTTGGATCGGCGATGGACCCCTTCCCTGGCGCGCGGAGATCCACAAGTTTATGCGTATGCTCTCGCCCTCGCGCTTCCTCTTGCCCCAGCGGGGCGTCGCGGGAGCGCCCGGCGACCCACCCGAGATCCACCTGCCCATTTTGCTTTGACGAACAATTCGGCGCCTGCGGTGGGCTCGTTGCACAGTATGCAAAACCATGTGCAAGTTCGGCGCCTGCGGCGGGCCATTTCAGAGACTGGCAGACTGTCGACGACCGCGCCGCCCCCTCACTCTGATCCGCATTTGCGGGGTGCCACGTATTAGATGTCCGGGTCGGACACACGCCTGCGCGTAGGACACATGGTACTAGTACGTCCTTCTGTGCCCTATTGGGGGCTTCGCGGGAGTGCCCCGCCGCACCTCTCGTTGGAGGCGGGGGAGAAGGCGGGGGAAGAGGGGGGGCAACGAGGGTAGCGGTGACAAGGAGGAGGAGGAGGAGGAGGAGGAGGAGGAGGACGAGGAGGAGGAGGAGGAGGAGGAGGAGGAGAGGAGAGGAGAAGAATAATAATAACAATAGGAGAGGAGGAAGAAGAGGAGGAGGAGGAGGAGACGGAGGAGGAGGAGGAGGAGGAGAGGAGGATGAGGAGGAGGAGGAGAGGAGGGAGGAGGAGGAGGAGGTGGAAGTGGAGGTGGATGGGTGGAGAGGAGAGGGAGGAAGGGGGGGAGGGAGGAGGAGTTGAGGAGGAGGAGAGGAGGAGGAGGGGAGGAGGACGATAAGGAGGACGAGAAGGAGGAGAGAGGAGAGGAGGAGGAGGAGGAGGAGGAGGAGGAGGGAGGAGGAGGAGAATGAGTAGGCGCCCACAAGGGTGTGGAACGCCCTTGCCTCCCCCCCCCTCGGCTGGAGGCGGCGGCGCACGGCGAGAAGAAGCGCGGTGCGGCGCGCGGAGAGGGCGCCGCGGTGCGCCGCTTCCGCTGCGACTGCTGGGCGGGCCGTAGCGCGAGGATGGGGGTGATCCTCCTCATCCTCCCTCCTCCTCGTCGTCCTCCTCCTCCTTCTCCTCCCTGCTCCTACCTCCTCCTCCTCCCTCCACCTCCTCCTCCTCCTCCTCTCCTCCTCCTCCTCCTCCTCCTCCTATTCGTCCTCCTCCTCCTGCTCTTCCTGCTCCTCCTCCTCTTCCTCCTCCCTCCTGCTGCTGCTGCTGCTCCTCCTCCTCCCTGCTTCTACCTCCTCCTCCTCCTCCTCCTCCTCCTCCGCCCATTTAACGTTTGATTTAACATTTGCAATGATGCCTGTTGCGTTCTACCTGCTCCTCAGCCTCCTCCTCGTCGTCGTCGTCCTCCTCCTCCTCCTCTTCTTTCTAGGTGGCTTTGGCGCCGCGGTCCCGCCCCCCCGCAGCCATTTTGCCTGCGGGCGGGCGCCGCGCCCGTGGCCGTAGCCCCCTGCCAGCGGCCCGCCTGCGGCGGGCGCTCGCTGTCTTTGGATCTGGACCGCATGTGGCGCTCCTCTGCGTGGCACCGCCGCGCTCGCCGCCTCCGAGCGCGCGCGAGGCACACGCTCCGCTGCGCTGCCGCGCGCAGTCGACTCGCTGGCGATCACGGAGAGAGGCCGAGAGAGTTCGACGGCCGCATGGCCCAGCAGCCGGCAGCGCCAGGCCGGCACGAAGCATATGCGCAGTTGGCCTTGCGTCGCCTCCCGTGCGTGTGGCATCCGCGAGAATTTTGCCTCGTAGGACACGTGCTGGAAGTGCGGGCGAGACCGTGCGGGCCGCATGCTGTGTGACGCACCCTCCGCTCCAGCTGCGGATGGCGCGCGCTCGGCATCCGCTGGCCGTCTCCGCCGTAGTGTGTCTCTTGCGAGCGGTCATGGTGCCCCTCCTGCAGGCGCTGCTGCTGGTGTGCCAGCCAGCCCTGCCGTGGCTCGTGCCCGTCAAGGCCTCTCCGCGCTGCAGAAGCTCAAGTACGGGGATGATCATCCGCTCAGCCAGGCCGCAAAGCAGAAGGTGCCAGCTCTGGAGGCCGAGGAGCGTCGTGCCCAGCCGCCCGAGCAGGTCATGTGCAGCGCCCAGAAGTTCTTGGACGACGCCAAGGCCATCGCCGCGCAGGTCGCCGAGTCCCTGGTGGAGGCGCGGGCCACCGTGGACCGCTTCCGCCAGCAGCAGGTCTCTTGTGACGCCCAGCTCGCGTTCCTGTGCGGTGGCAGCCTCGGCAGCGGGCAGCAGCGGCGTGCACCTGGCGGGCCATGGGCGCTGCCTTCCCCGCGGCCAGTGCCCTCCAGGTGGGAGCCCCAGCAGCAGCTGCCACCGTCGCCGCGCCAGCAGCAGCCTTCGCAGCCGCGCGGAGCCAGGAGCAATCCTCGCAGTCACTGGCGCCTGTGCTCGCTGGTGCCGCGCCAGATCCCGCTCCTGACGATCAGCGCGCTGCTGGCCGCCGTTGTGCGGACGCCGCTGCCCCCGCCGCAGCCGCGCCCGTGCTTGTCGCCCCCGTTGCCTTTCGCGCGGGCGGGGGAACCGCCGCGGCAGCCTGGGAGGGCGAAGGCATTGGCCACTAGGCAGCGCGCCCGTCGGGGGAGTGCTCGGGAGAAGGCGGGCCTAGTGACGTTATATGGCTCGTCTTGGGGCGCGCGTCGTAGGGTCCTGGGGCATTGCGACGTGGGCGTCCAGGCTGTGGCCACTCAAGAGGTTCGCATCGATGGGGATGGGCTTCGCCGGGCGGAACGTTGGGCTGCGCGGGCCGGTTGGCGCGCCATCATCACTGGGTGTCGTCGGTTGGAGTCTGGCATGCCGTTCGTTGGAGTTCGGGGATGATATCAGTGTGACCACCTTGCCTGGTCTTGGCAGTTTTGAGCTGATCCCGTGTTGGGTTGCGTGTCGTGCGACTTTCGGCATCGGGGGTGGTGTGATATTGCTCTCGGCCTACTTCGAGGCCGACATGGGCGGCGGGCACCAGCGCTTCGAGGCTCTTCCAGATTGCGATGGCGCTTCGTGGCTGGAATAGGCCCTGTTTCTTGGCTGGCGACTTCAACTGTGGCACGTCGGCCCTGGGTGTTGACGGCTTCTTGGATTTCTTCCTTGCGAAGGTCGTGGCGAGGATTCGCAAGGGTGACCAGGCTGGCGCGCGTCGCAGCGCCCAGGGCAACTACTCGAATATTGACATCTGGCTCGCCAGCCTTTCCATCGCATGTTCAGGGCTGGCCTGCGGCGCCGCGCTTCCCGATGGTGACCTACCTGGACTCGCGTGCTAGCGCTGTCGGTTCCCGGTGCTGAAGGGGCCAAGTCCTTCCCCGCGGAGTCTCCGGAGCGCGACGCCGTCATCGTTGCCGACCTCGCTCAGCAGCAGGTCATCGAGCGCGACGCGGCCCTTGGCGGGGTCGCTTCGCTATCCCAATCCCAGACGCGCCCGGGCGAGCTCTACGCGGAGTTTGCCCATGCTGCTGAGGAGGAGCTCATTGCGCGCTACGGCGCCCCTGAGCCGGTGGCGGGCCGCCACCGTGGCAGGTCTGGCAAAGTCGTCTACCGCTTGCGCCGGGCTGGGGGCGCCCCCGCCGCCGCGCGCCTTGCCGCGCCACCGGGTGCGAGGCGTGCCGGGCGCCTGGCTTAGACAGCTGATGACGACCTTCGTGCTGGGTCGCCGCCGCTGCCTTTAGGTCGGGGCCTGGACAGGCTCAACTCTCCTGGCGCCGAGAGGTCCGTCCAGTGTCAGGAGTGTCGCCAGGTGGTCCAGCTCGCGCGTGACATTATGCCCATGGTGGGCCGCATCCTGAAATAGGCAAAGGACTTTGACGCGTGGGCGGAGCATCAGCTGCGGATCCTGCGCGTGCTGGGGCCCGACGCCGTCTCCGACATCTACCTGCCAGGAAGCTGCCCGCGGGCAGGCCTGCCTGACGTGCGCGCTGCGGCCATCGACGTTGTCGCCGTAGCCGTCGGTTGGCTCTAGAAGTTTGCGGAGGTGCTCGAGGCCGCCGACAGGTGGCGGGCTTTCGCAGAGTGGGCCCGCGAGTGCAGCAGCGAGCGCGCGAAACCGCACTTCAGCTTCACCAGGCCTGCGGGCGTTCCTCGTGCTCAGGTGCTGCGACGCGGCCGTCACATTACATTGGCGCAGGATATGGCTGATGAGTGGGCAGCTGGTCTAGCATCTGGCAGGCTCAGGCGGCCTCTGATGCGCCCATGCCGATCCTGCGGCGCACGGGGCAGGGCGCCGACTGCATCGCTCCTCGTGCCATCAGCTTGTTCACAGGACACTGTTGCGCTCCTGGTGTGCTTCGCGTGGCTCGTGGGGCACTGGGGGAGGCGGCCGACGCAGCTCGCCGCGGTCGACATCGTGTTGCCGGCGAAGCCCAATGGGGGGTGGAAGCCCGTGGCGCTCTGGCAGGCGACCTACCACGCCTGGTCTCAGGCTCGCGCGTGCCCACCACGTGCCTGGCTGCTCGGGCGCGACAGGCCCGCTGGGCGTCGCCTCCAGGGCCCCCCTGCGGGCTGAGGGGCCCTTGCCTGCGATGACGGCGTGGTCGCGGCCATCGTGGACATCGAGAAGTGTTTCGACCGCATCTGCTGGCTCCCCCTCGTGGCAGCAGCTGCCAAGCACGGCTTCCCGCGCCAGCTGCTGGCCTCTGCCCTGGCCATGCGCCGTGCGCCGCGGGGGGCTGGTCTGGCTGCAGGCTACGTCCTGCTCGATCACCGTGCAGCAGAGCGTGCTGCCAGGCTGCAAGTCCGCCGTGGCGCTGGTGCAGCGCCTGATGATCGTTGCCATGGATGACTTCGTGGAGATTGCACGTGGTGGCATGCTGGGCCCACGGGCGGGTTTCGTTTTTTTTTTTTTTTTTTTTTTTTTTTGACGACGATCTGACGTTGCAGATTGTTTCTCGGCAGTTGTTTCTTCGGCAGGTGGCTGTTGGCGCGATCGAGCTCATGTGCAACGCTTTGTTGGACCTGGGCCTTCCGTTGCCCGATCCAAGGCTGTTCTCGCGACGTCGGATGACAAGTTCGCTCCTCTGTTCGCTCGCAGGTCGAGGCGCTGCGGGTTCCGCGCGCAATCCTGGCTGGGGGCCCCGGGCTTGGAGGTCGGCGCTGAGAAAAGGTCGCGGGGCCAGGTCCAACGGCGACGCGTGAGCAAAGTGGCGAAGCGCTCCAAACACTGCAGGCGCCTGAGTTTCCTGGGGGCAGCAAGTAGAGGAAGGTTGCCCGTGCTGCAATTGGCCCCGCCATCATCTGCGGTCTGGGCATTGTCGAGGTTGCCCCCTGCGTCGCCAGGCGCATGACCTCCACGGTGAAGCAGGGATTGAGTGCCGTGCCCCCTGAGAGCACGCATTGGATCGCATCTCGTTCGGACCCGGCCCCTGAGCGCCAGCGCGCTGCGATCTCGGTTGTCGGTCCCGCCCGCCACTGGTCAGCGTCGGCTCAATCTGGCGATGTGGATCATGTCACATTGCATGCGGCCTGGAGGTCCCAGTATCTTCGGTTTGCTTCCTTGTCTTTGGAGAGCAGTTGGAAGCATGTGGCTGGCCCTGTTGGAGCATTCGCCCGCTCCCCACTGTTGCTCGGATAGAAGTGTTCTTCTGCATTCAACGTGTACACGCGCGGCGGCGAGGGGTTGGACATGGGGTATGTTGCGCCGTCTGTTGCGAGGTGGATCGCCCTCATGGGCTTCGGGGCATGTGGCCAACTGCAGTGGTCTACGCGTCCTGATGTCATGCCTGAGTATCTCTGGCCGCTCCGCGAGGATCCTGCTGGCATCTGGCTGGCGATCGGCGCTGGGCCCCCCCCTCCCGGGCGCGCGGAGCGCGCCAGGGGCGGCGAGGGAGGCGCCGCCAGGCGGCCCCGGCGCCGATCCGAGGAATCCGCGTGGACCTCCAAGAGTTTATGTTTGTGTTGTCGTTTGTCCCCGATCCCCGTGCGCCCGCGCCCCGCCCCCTCCGCCTCTACGGCCGCGAGGCGGGGAGATCCCTTCCCCGCGGGCGCTGTTGCCCCCCGCCCCTTCCCCCCATTCGGGCACGCGCTGCGGTCGGGAACTTTTGCTGCGGCGGCCCTGGCGGCGCGCCGCGCCTTGCAAGCCCATGGCGTGCCATTCCGCTCTGCCGGGCGGGGGGCTTCGAACAGCTCGGGCCGCTGACGCCTGGGGACCAGGACGTGGATAGTGCGTCGCGTCGAAACGTGGTGGGACAGAGCCAGCGGCGCGACGCGCTCAGCCAAAGTTCCACAAAGTTTCAAACTGTAACATGGGTTGCGGGTCCGTGGATCTGGCGTGTAAGCGTTTGTCGCTGGTTCACGCGCTTCAACGCGTGTTGGCGCTTCCTCGGCCCATCCACCTACCCAGACATGCCATTGGTTGTGTCATAATGTGTTCCCCTAGCCTCGGGGAACAAGCAATTGCATAGACATAACAACTCGTAGGTTCGCGCGGAGTTCTCGAATCGGCGCTGGACCCCCCTCCCTGGCGAGGCGCCGCAGGGGGGTCCAAGCGCCGATCCGAGGAATCCGCGCGGACTTTTTCGTTTTTGTGTTTGTGTCGTTTTCTGTTCCGAGGCCCCGTAGGGGCCTCCCCTGGCCAAAGGCTGGAAGTCAAGACAGCCGTCCGTCGTGAGTTCTGCATGGTTCGGGGGGAGCTGGGGAGGGGGGGGCCCCCCTTGGAGGCTCTGCCTGGCCGCAGCCACGCTGCCACGTTCACCCCTCGACATCTCGTGGCGCCTGCGCGGGGGAACCGCCAGGGCTCCCAAGCGGGGATCGCCGCAGGAGGAGGAGGAGGAGAAAGTAGCGGCGGCCCAGAGGGCAGGCACCACGCCGCCAAGCTGCGAAAAACGGAGCGAGACAACCGACAGCCGACACTGCACTGACAGAGTACAGCAGCGTCTGTCAGCGGAGCCACTGCACCACCCGGTCTGGAATTTGGGTTCTGGCCTGTGGTTTTCGTCGTCGTCTTCGTCCTCGTCGTCGTCGTCGTCCTCCTCGTCCTCGTCGTCGTCGTCGTCGTCCTCGTCGTCGTCGTCCTCGTCGTCGTCCTCGTCGGCCTCGTCGTCGTCGTCGTCGTCGTCCTCATCGTCGTCGTCGTCGTCCTCGTCCTCGTCGTAGTCCTCGTCGTCCTCGTCGTCGTCATCGTCGTCCTCGTCGTCCTCGTCGTCGTCGTCGTCGTCGTCGTCGTCCTCGTCGCCCTCGTCCTCGTCGTGGTCGTCGTCGTCCTCGTCGTCGTCGTCCTTGTCGTGGTCGTCGTCCTCGTTGTCGTCGTCCTCCTTGTCGTCGTCGTTGTCGTTGTCGTCCTCGTCGTCCTCGTCGTTGTCGTGGTCGTCGTCGTCGTCGTCCTCGTCGCGTCTTCGTCGTCGTCGTAGTACTTCGTCGTCTCGTCGTTGTTTCCGGTCTTCGTCGTCGTCGGCGTCGTCGTCGTCGTCGTCGTTCCTCGTGTCGTCGTCGTGTGTCGTCTCCTTCGTCGCGTCGTCGTCGTCGTCGTCCTGTCCTCGTTGTCGTCTCGTTGTCGTCCTCGTCGTCATCGTCGTAATTGTCCTCTCGTCCTCGTCGTCGTCGTCCTCGTCGTCGTCGTCGTCCTCCTCGTCGTCTTCGTCGCCGTCCTCGTCGTCGTCGTCCTAGTTCTCGTCATCCTCGTCGTCGTCCTCGTCGTCGTCGTCGTCGTTGTGGTCCTCGTCGTCCTCGTTGTCGTCCTCGTCGTCCTCGTCGTCGTCGTCGCCGTCCTCGTCGTCGTCGTCGTCGTCGTCGTCATCGTCGTCCTCGTCGTCCTCGTCGACGTCGTCGTCGTCGTCGTCGTCCTCGTCGTCGTCCTCGTCGTCGTCGTCGTCCTCGTCGTGGTCGTCGTCGTCGTCGTCGTCGGCCTCGTCGTCGTCGTTTTTTTCGTCGTCGTCGTCCTCGTCGTCCTCGTCGTCCTCGTCGTCGTCAGCCGCGTCGTCCTCGTCGTCGTCGTCGTCGTCGTCCTCGTCGTCCTCGTCGTCCTCCTTGTCGTTCTCGTCGTCGTCCTCGTCGTCGTCGTCGTTCTCGTCGTCCTCGTTGTCGTCCTCGTCGTTCTCGTCCTCGTCGTCGTCGTCGTCGTCCTCGTCGTCGTCGTCCTCGTCGTGGTCGTCGTCGTCGTCGTCGTCGTCGTCGTCGTCCTCGTCGTCGTCGTCCTCGTCGTCGTCGGCGTCGTCTTCGGCGTCGTCGTCGTCGTCGTCGTGGTCAGCCGCGTCGTCCTCGTCGTCGTCCTCGTCCTCGTCGTCGTCGAGGCTCTCCTGGCCGCTGCCGCCCGTGCGGCCGCCCCGCCGGCGTTGGGCGCGCGCTCCAGGCTCGCAGCCACGCGCACCTGCACCCGGAGAGCCACCCGTTCGCGCACCGGGCCGCCGGCGCGGAGGACCAGGCCGTCGCGCGGGTCTCTCTCGGGTACGGCCAGGGCCCGGTTAGTGGTAGGGCCCCTGGTAAGAGGACCCGGTTAGTGGTAGGGCCCCGGAGCCCTTGAACTGACCAGAGTCACTAGACCAGGTTTGCCGTAGCTGGTGTTTCTTCGGGTGGCGGCAGTTCCTGTCAGTGGAACGGGGCGGGGGGAGCGCCCCCCAGTACGCATCACCAGACCACAAAACCAGGTTTGCCGTAGCTGGTGTTTTTTCGGGTGACGGCAGTTCCGGTTGGTGGAACGGGGCGGCGGCGGCGTCCTCCAGTGCGCATCATTAGACCAGGCTCCATTAAACCTGGTTCTGTCAACGCCCGATTCCCCCCCAGCCCGAGTCCCTGCCCAGGCAGGTGCGGATTCACCATCGGGGGCCTATCGCCGATCTGTCGGCGATGTATCGCGCCGATACCAGGTTCCAGGTTTCGCGCGATGTATCGCGCCGATTCGTTGCCCCCCACCACTGGCCCACGGGCAGACAAGATGACGATTGCCGCCGTCGCCGCCGAGGCCAGGTGGCGCGTGCTCGCTGCCCAGGGCGGGGGTGAGCTCTCGGGAGCCGCCGTTGGGGGCCTCACCGAGCTGTGGGCCTTTCAGAACCCAGAGGGGGAGGAGGAGGAGGAGGAGGAGGAGGAGGAGGAGGAGGAGGAGGAGGAGGAGGAGGAGGGGGAGGAGGAGAAGGGGGAGGAGAAGGCACTGGAGGCACAACTAAGACGACGTCTCTTTCCCAAGACGCAGACAAGGAACAGGGAGGAGACCTCGTCGCCCGTGACCTGCTCACCCGAGACGGCGTGGTGCGTAGGGCGGCTGGGCCCCTGAACCTTCACCATCATTTCAGGTTCCTCGACCAGGCAACCACAGCCAACCCTGCCGAATCAAGTGACATGTGCAACTGGGTTTGTTCCCCAGGGTGAGTGGACACAAGGCCCCTTGGGATTTACGGACCTCATGGTCTCACCTCTCAACCAAATGCACAATCCCCGCGCCTGGTTCCCATCTCCAGTGCAACGGGCGCAGAGATGGCATATGCAGCAAGGCAAAATGCCAAGCAGCTGGTGGTAAAACATTGGGCCCGTTTCTCCTCTCCTTGCCTGCCGCGATGGGCAGCCCTGACAGTGTACCCTCGAGGTAGGAAAAGCAAAGTGCCAGGATACCGCCCCCGGCCCCCCCACGAAGGAGAGGAGGGGTGGAGGAGGAGGAGGAGGAGGAGGAGGAGGAGGAGGAGGAGGAGGAGGAGGAGGAGGATAGGAGGAGGATTGGAGAAGGAGAGCAGGAGGATAGAAGGAGGAGGGAGATGGAGAAGGAGAAGGAGGATGAGGAGGAGGAGGAGGAGGAGGAGGAGGAGCACGCCATCACCCACCAGCACCAGCCAATACACTTTTTCAGCTGCCGCCAACAAACCGCCATTTGGTTCGTTCCGGTACGTCGTTCTCATCCCCTTTCGGCTGGCTGCTGCTGTGACGGTACTCATGCGCTCTCCTCCTACGCCACTGGCTGCATGTTTAGTTGCCCTATGCCCTTTCGGGCTCTTCTGTTTTTATTACTCTTTGCAATTACTGTGTCCGCGCGTGCCTGCAGCCTGCGCCAAAGGCCACGTCGCATAAGTCTGTCGTTACATTTTGCCACAATGGCGTTGCAGCCCAGCATGTGCAACGTGCGCCGTCAGTCGAGGTGCAACGTCAACGCCGAAAGCGAGGACTGCCGCCCAGCCTGAACACACATCGTCTGAGATCTGCGCTCAAGACATCGCAGAGCACCCGCCTCCCCTCCCTCCTCCACTCCTCCTCATTCTGTCTTCCCCTCTTCCCCGCCCCTCTTCCTCCTCCCCTCCTCCTCCTCCTCCTCCTCCTCCTCCTCCTCCTCCTGTGCGGTGCAGGCCCGTCTCCGGCTCCCGCGGAGGGGTCGAGCCCTGCCGCTGGGAGCGCGAGCCTGGGTTCGCAGCCGTGGTTACTTCAAGGGCATGAGATTGTGCAAGCGGCGGAGCTTAGCTTGGAGACTTCCCCGCCAGTTTTGCTTTGCACGAGCTCTTGTGCCAGCGTCCAGAAAACTACAGGACTGGATCGGGCCTCGCCGCCTTCTGTACGGCTAGTAAGCATCCTGGATTGGCAGCTCAGCGTGGTGGGATCAGGAGGGGCCTCCATCCGAATTCGGCCCCATTCCCCCCCCTCCTAAGGTTGGACCCCTGTGCACCCCGTCGGCCGAGACCCGAGCTCAGTGGGCGGAGGCACTGCGAGTCGAGGGCGCGAACTTTGGACAAGTATCGGGCTGGAGATCCCAGAGCCGCTTGACACGTATAGGGCCGCTGCGTTGCACGGCTTCTCGGGCCCCCAGGAGACGGTGGAGTGGTGCCGCCGAGAGCAAAGCAGAGAGGCTCGCGAGGCGCAGACCCAGATGGAGGAGCCTCTTTCCAGCTTGATCTCAGCATCGGGCTCTCGCTGGCCGCGAGGGAGCTTGCTCCATCTTCCAACACCGCCAGTATCGCCTGCTCCTCCTCCTCCTCCTCCTCCTCCTCCTCCTCCTCCTCCCTCCTGGCTTCCCCTCCTCCTCGCTCCTCCCTCCTGTCTCCTCCCTCCTCTCCCTCGCCCCTGGAGGCCGCCGGCAAGGGCGAGCAGGAGGCCGCGAGCGTCGCGGCGCTCCGGCTGCGGGGGCTGCCCTTCAGCGTGACGGCGCGCCGCCTCGCCCTCGGCGGGGGAGGGCCGCCTTGCCCCTGCGGGGGCGCGAGGGCTCCTCCTCCTGGTCTCCCTCCGCCCACATTAGCCCTCCTCCTCCTCCTCCTCCTCCTCCTCTTCCTCCTCCTCCTCGACATCCTACTCCCTCCTCCTCCTCCTCCTCCTCCTCCTCCTCCTCCTTCTCCTCCACCTCCACCTCCACCACCTTCTGGACATCCTGCTCCTCCTTCTCCTCTTCCTCCTCCTCCTCCTCCTCCTCCTCCTCCTCCTCCTCTTCCTCCTCCTCCTCTTCCTCCTCCTCCTCCTCCTCCTCCTCCTCCTCCTCCTCCCCGTCTCTCGGTCCGAGGAGGAGCCCTTCGCGGCCGAAGAACAGTGCCGTAGCACCCCGCCGTTGCAGACGAAAACCCAGAGATCCGACGCCTTCCCCCCTCCCCCTCTCTCGGTCCGAGGAGGAGCCCTTCGCGGACGAAGAACAGTGCCGTAGCACCCCGCAGTTGCAGACGAAAGCCTAGAGATCCGACGCTCCGAAATATTGGAGCGGCGGGCTTGTGGCCGCCTTCAGCCTCCGAGGGCCCTTACGGGGCCTCGTGACCGTCAGAAGACCAGTCGGGACGAAGAATCGGCCCTGGGGAAGTGGTCCAAACCTCCGGGGCCCACGCATCGAACAGCATTGGAGCAGCGGGACGTCTGGTAGTAAGGGGGCGGCGACTTTCAGGGGAGGTGTCAGGGGACATTCGGCACGCTCCTCGTACATCTCGGCTCGAGGCATGCCCGCCCCATGTGGCTACTGGCAGCCGTGCCGGTGCTATCTGAGAGGAAACGGTATTTTCTCACACAGCATCCCATTCCATTCATACCATTTACATCTTGTCTGATGTCCAGTAGACGGTTGGACCGAGGTATAAGATCGAGGTTTGTTCGGGGAGGGTCTCTGGTGTTCTTCGTGTTTGTTTGATGTTTTTGTGCATTCTGGGTCTGGGGGAGGGTACCCTCTAATGTTCTTCAGTTTGGCCGGCGGAGGGTCTCATGTTCTTGAAGGTTATTCCTCAGTCTTAGGTCCAGCCGTATGTGATGCGTGTTATCTGACGTTACCACGGTGCTTGTGACTCGGCTCTCTAATGTTCTTCAGTTTGGCCGGCGGAGGGTCTCATGTTCTTGAAGGTTGTTCTTTTGTCCTAGGTCCAGCCGTATGTGATGTGTGCTATGTGACGTTACCACGGTGCTTGTGACTCGGCGGGGTCGTCTGCAGCCTGCGAGGCTCTGACGAAGGCCGCCGCAGTCGCCGATTTGTTTTTCGAGAGGCTTGCGCTATTCCATGGTTGAGACGTCGTGGGCTTCTTGGGCATCATTTGGGAACTGTTGTGGGCGTCTTGGGAGCTGTTTTGGGGCCTGGTGGAACTTCTTGCAGGCAGTTTTGAAGCGTCTTGGGGACCGTTGGGGGCCTCTTTTGGGTCTTGGGGCCTCTTGGGGCTAACTGAGGGCCTCTTTTGGGCCGCTTGGGAGTTTGTTGCGGCCTTTCCGTGGGCCTTGTGGGGTCGGAATAACGGAGTTAGTGTTTGGCACAAATCCGCCCGCGCTGGTAACGACCCCGCGGCTGGCCGCGGGGGCGTCCTCGCTCGGCTGGTCGGCCGCGCGCTGGCCGACCCGCTTCCGCCTCTTGCTCGCGTAGTGTGGTGCGGTGCGGTGCCGTGCCGTGCTTCCTCCGCCTGATACTGGGGCGGGATATAAATACCGTGCCGTGTGTCGGGTTTCGGCCCTCCGCCCGCTGGGGCTTCGTTCGGCCCATAGTGGCTTCGTTCGGCCCATGGTGGCTTCGTTGCGGCCCATCGTGGCCTGCTGCGTTAACTTGCCCTATCGGGCCCTCTCGTCAGGTCCATAGTGACCACGTGCTGTCGTTGGGGGCCTCGCGCCCAATGGGGCATTTTCCCTGGTCCACAGCGGCCACTGGCCTTCGGGCCCACTGCGACCACACCCGCTGGGGTCCCAGGTCCTGGGTGGCTCAGGGGAGCTTGCTGCGTTGTGCCCCTTGTGGCCCATAGTAGCGATCAGCTGGCGTGCAGCTCTCCTCTCGTCCTCATGGCGCGCCGGCATGCAGGTGCGCGGGCTTCAGCTGGCGTGCAGCTGTCGCCGTCGCGCGGGATTCTTGCGTGCGCCCCGTGGCGCTGAGTTTGCGATGGCGATGCTTACCTTCTTGCAATCTGACCCTGTTGTGGGCGCGAAGTGGAGTGAGATCCAGTTCAAGGGCGCGGTTGATTGCCTGGCAGCCAATGGGCTGATGACGCCAGAAGATCTGGCCAACATTCAATTCGAGGATGTGAAGGACGCCGACGGCGCGCCAGCGCTGACGAAGGGCGTCCTGAGGCGCGCTCTGAATCGCGCGACGGTGGCGGGCGCCGAGGCGAGTTCGCCAGGGGCCGCGGGGCCCGCGCGGGCTTCGGCGCGTTGTTTCGCATCGGTTGCTGCAGAATCCTGGCCCCGCGCCGAAGGGCGAACATGTCGACATCGGTGCGGGCCTGGCCCAGATCACCCTGAGGGACCTTCCGCAGTCCCTGTGGCCGAGGCTGCTGCGCGGCTTCGCCCCGGCGCGCTGGCGCGTTTCCACCTTTCGCTCAGGTCGGCGAAGACCGATGCGCTGGCCACCGAGGTACAGCGCGCTAAAGCCAGGGGCATCGCGCACCCGTTCATTTATACAGAGCTTGCGAAGTTTCAGCCGCTATGCGCGCGCGGCGCGGGCGGTTCTCCCGACGATGACGAGCCCGAGTCAGAAGAGGCAGCCGCGTTGGCCGGAGCGCTCGGACGGGGAACCGCGGCGGAGAGTCAGCCGCTTCTGGCGTGGGCGCCACGGCGCCAAGCTTTCGACGCGTGGAGCGCGGCGGCGGCGGTCACAGATCAGATCTCGTGCGCGAGCGCCACGGCCCGCAAACGCGTTGTTCTTCGGGCGAGTAGACATTGGCGCCCGTCCGCTGGTCGCCGGCGAGAGTGCGCTAGCCCAGGTTGCACTGGGTGCCCCTTTGCAGGGGTGGAAGGCCTAGGTTGCCTTGGTCTACGACCGCCTCGCGCGGAGGACGTGGGCCGAGCGTGCCGCCGCCGGCGTGGCAGGCTTCCAGGCCGCAGTTTCGCGCCATGCTTCAGCGCGATATTCTCGGGCGCGCGTCGGCGCGCAGGTGAGCGCAGCTGCGCTGTCGCTTGACAGCGGGCTGCTCCGCGCGGCGGAAGCGGAATGCGATCGGGCCCTTGAGGCCGCGTCGCCGAATCCCTTCTTCTCGCGTTGCGCCGCCGCTGTCACGCAGGTTGCTGCGCCAGTCGGCAAGGGAGCAGGAGAAAGCGCCGCGGCGGCGCGCGGGCAGAGTGCGAGCGCCGCAAGCGCCGCGGGCATCGCGGGGGGCGCCGCCGTCACCTCTTGGAAGAATGACCGCGAGCCGAGAGCCGACTGGTGGCATTCCCGTGGTTCCAACCGCGGGGGGTGCAACAAGCGCTCCTGGGATTCGCGGACGGTGTTTTCACCTCAGAAGAGGCCGCGCGCCTGACGCCCGCCGGAGGCACGCGCAGCCCGCGGCGCGCGGCGATGTGCGGGGCGCGCGCCAATGAGGATGTGCATCTCGCGCCACGTCGGCATTTGAATAACGACGAATGGGCGCCAACCGTGGCCACCGTCCCGTGGAGCCCGCAGGCGCGCGCGCGCGCTGGCAGGGGGGCGCCGCGATGGTGCCGAGTCGTCCAGGGCTTGGGCGCCAGCCAACACTCGTGGTCCGGTTGTGACGCGAGGGCCGCCCGCCCGCTGGGCCAGGAGGCGCGCGAACGCCCCCTGGCAGGCTGTCCCAAGAACAGAAGTTCTGTGGGTGGGGGTGCCAGGGCCAGGAGGGGGGCGTTGGTCGGTTGTGGGCGAGACAATGTGCGGTGGGGGTTCCAAAAACAGAAGTTCCGCGGGTGGGGGTGCCGGGGCCAGACCCAGTGCAGCGCTTCGTGGCCCCATAGGGAGCTCCACCGAAGGCCCCAGTTTGACCGTCCGCGTGCGTCGTGAAACACCAAAAGTGACATTTTCACCCTCCCAGTACAGCGCTTCGTGGCCACATAGGGAGCTCCACCGAAGGCCCCAGTTTGACCGTCCGCAAGCGTCCCGAAACACCCAACGTAGCATTTTCACCCGGCGATTCGGGGCCTCTTGGACCGTTTCGGGAGCGTCCCTGCGCCCCTTTGGCGCGCTCCTGGGGCGCCCTGGGCGACCTGGCCAAGCATCGGCCGGGCACCGCCCGGTTTTTTTTCGTGCGGGGTTCCCCAAGGGCCGCCACGCGAGCGCGAACTAGAAATACTGCTGGCCTGTCGCCGGAGATCTTAGCACGCCTCTGGCCCGGTGGGCCGGCGAATTGTATTTCATCCGCCCCAATTTTTGATATATTATTTTACTTGCGTGTCCTCTGGATGCGCGGCCTACTGACAGACGAAGACGCGCGGCAGGTGCAGGACGTGCTCGCGTTCTTCTCGCAGCACCAGGTGGCGGAGTGCATCGCAGACGGGGCTGGCGCTTGCAGCCTGTCGCTCCGACCGGGGCGGTGCCTCTTCAGGGGAGGGAGAAGTGCTCGTCGGGGGCAACGACGGGGGGGGATAGCCATAAGGGGCGGGGGATGCATCGACCCTCAATCGCCCATCGATCGCCGATTGGGGCCCGATAGCCCCAACCTGCACAGCAAGGTGCGGGTTCACTATCGGGGGCCTCTCGCCGATCGATCGGCCAGGTCGATGTATCCCCGCCTATGCCAGTCCCCCCTTACCGTTGCCTCTCAGCTCGGGGATAGCGACAGGGGGGATACATCGTAGAGGAAAACACGCCATGGACATGAACTTTTGGCACTCCGCGCGGATTTTTTGGATCCGCTCTGGGCCCCCCCCGGCGGCGCCTCCGGCGCCGCCCCGGGCGCGCGGAGCGCGCCACGGAGGGGGGTCTATCGCAGATCCAAGGAATCCGCGCGGAACGCCAAAAGTTTATGTTTATGTAGTTTTTCCCGTTCTCATGCAGTCGGGCCGAGGTACAGGAACGAGGTCGATTCGGGGAGGGTGCCCTGAGGTTCTTCGTGCTTGTTGGATGCTCGTGTCCCTGTCGCTCCGATCGGGGCCGTGCCTCCCTGGGAGGGAGAGGTGCTTCTAGGCCTCTTAGATGGGGTCGGAGCAGATGAGGTCGGAGGATCGCGCCGCATCACCGATGCGGAGCCCGATTTGCTTCACGTCGACGTCGCCGATGCCCACGTCGCAGGTGCATCGCTGGTGCATCGCCGATGCATCGCCGATACATCGGCGATGTGGCGCGATTCTCCGACCCCATCTAATCCGACCCCATCTAGGAGGCCTCTAGTGCTCGGGGGCAACGATAGGGGGGACAGTCGGACCGAGGTACAAGAACGTGGTCGATTCGTGCCTGTTGGATGCTCATGTCCCTGAAGGGTGTTGTTCTGGCCCGGGTCCGACGGTAGGCTCAGGGATAGGCTGCACACCGCCCCGCGCCGCCACGACCTCGAGGGGGAGGGGGGGATTGGCGGGGGGGGGGGGACGGGACGGGTTGGGCGATCGCAGACATGCATCAAAGGGGGCGTGGATTAGCGACGGGCCCCGCTCCCATGGGCACAATCCCGGATTTCCGCCGCCGAGCGAGGCGGCACCGGCCGCATTCTGGGCATGGCTCGCCGATCCGTGCCTGCGCGCCCCCGGAGCGGGGGCGGAGCGCAGGGCGAGGGAGGGCGCCCACAGTGGGAGCGCGAAGTGCCCGCCAGCCACGGCCCTCACGCCGCTCGGAGAGCCGTGGCCGGCCGCCGTGCGGGAGCGCCCCGTCCGGCGCCGCCGGCCCCCGTCGGTCGGTGCTGCGCGGCGGCGGAGGGGGAGAGTCAGGAGGGGATGTTTCACACAGGCACAAAGAATCGTCGGCCCCCCAGGAAAATATGCGAACATATGGGAAGTGTGGGGGGGCCCAAAATATGGGAAGACAGGGGGAATCTGGTTGTTCGTGTGTAGTTGTTTGTGTGTGCGAGAAGCCCGCAGACGAGGGCAAGCGCGCAGGCGCGGGAGGCCGCGGCCGACGGGAAGAGGCCAGGGCCGGCGGGAGGCCAGGGCCGGCGGGGGAGGCAGGCGGGAGGCGAGAGGTCGGGGGGCAGGCGGGGGCAGGGGGAAGGGCGAATGCCGAGGAGGAGCAGGCGCCGATGCCGCTACCCTTCCCCTGTTTTTCCCCTGTTGGGGCCCCCCTGGGAGAGGTCCTGGGGGTCAAGGGCGCCCTCGAGGGCGCGAAGTGATTCGCGCTTCGCGGTTCGCCTCCGACTCCTCCTCATCCTCCTCTTCTCCTCTGGGAGGCGGCGCGAGAGCGCGAAGTGATTCGCACTTGGGGGTAGCGGTATCAGTACTCTTCGGTTTCCCTGCGAACGCCGCGACCCATGGAATGCAGAGGAGGAACAGGTACCGATCCCGCTACCCTTCCCGCGTGTTCCCCTTTGTGGGCCTCCTGGGAGGCCCTCGTCGCCCGCGCTGGATTCGTCTCGAAATTCTAGTCAGGAAGCACCCCGGGAGAGGTCCTGGGGGGCAGGGGTATCGGTACTCTTCGGTTTCCCCTGCGAACGCCGCGATCCATGGAATTCGCGAGCCTGCACGAGCAAGCACCTCTGCGACGGGTGATCCAGAGCCGTCTTGGCTACGGGTGGCACTTTTTACACACTCCTGCACGAGTGCAGAACACGAACGAGCCCAATCGACCATTCATCGCCGATAGGGGGCCAGATAGCCCCACCCCGCCCAGGAGCGTGCGGATTCGCTATCTTGGGCCTGTCGCCGATCTATCGGCGATGTATCGCTGATTCCAGGTCGATGTTTCCCCCTGAATTGCCCCCTCCCCCCCTCCCCCTATCGTTGTCCCTCGAATGCGGTTGTCCGATTGTTTGTCGGGGTCTCAGGTTTTTGTAATGTTTTCGATTATTGGTTCTGGTTGTCCGATGGGTTGTCGGGGTTCCCCGTGGGTTTGTCGGATTTCGTCGTGGCTTGTCGAGATACTTGGGGGGGGTCGGGTGCGCCTGAGCAGTGCCCCAGGAGGCGACTCAGTGCATTGGCATAACTTTCGAAGCTTCGCGCAGATGTCTTGGATCTTCGCTGCACTTGCGAAGCGTTATTGCACGGGTTTAGCATCCTCGTTTCTGTTGCATTGCCATGTCTGGCTTTGCGTCTCCTTGTGTGCCTGTGTTGTGTTCTTTTTGCGCGTTCGTGTTTTTGCTGCACCTACCTCTTGCGCGTTGGTTGAAAGCATTGTTGGTATCGGGATGCAGTGCCTTCTGACTGGTGTTCATGCGGCCTGGTCGTATTCGGTTTGCACCTCCCTGCGATTACGCCCCAGCCCATCTTCGGCTCAGTGTAGCTTGGCCCCTGGTGCGTAGTATGATTGGAAGCTCCCCTTCCAGGCATTTCGGGATCAACGTCATCTTCACACCTGTCCATGCCCCTCCATTGCCCCAGGCTTGTCTGCATTTTCCCAAATATTCGAAGTCTGTATGTCTTTCTCTCGCGCATGGTCGCGTCCGGAGCATGCAAGTCCGGATGCCTCGAGGCTTACAAAGCCGTCTCGTTTGGAGCTAGGTGCAGGGAGAAAGTATTACGAGGAGACAGGGAACATGAGAAGAAGAAGAAGAGGAGGCGGAGGACGATGATGATGATGATGATGATGATGATGATGATGATGATGATGATGATGATGATGACGATGACGATGACGATGACGATGACGATGACGATGACGATGACGATGACGATGATGATGATGATGATGATGATGATGATGATGATGATGATGATGATGATGATGATGATGATGATGATGATGCTGATGATGCTGATGATGATGATGATGATGATGAGGAGGAGGAGGAGGAGGAGGAGGAGGAGAAGGGGAAGAGGATGCGGAGGAAGGGTGGACGTGGGAGGGGGAGGTTGAGGGGCAAATGGTTACCGAAGGGGGGAGGAGTTGGATGAGATGCGGGAAGGAGGGGGCAGCAGGGAGCAGGAGGAGGAGGAGGAGGAGGAGGACGAGGGGAGAGGATGGAGGAGGAGGAGGAGAAGGAGAAGGATAGCAATAATATTAAAAAAAGAATACGAATAATAATAAGAAGTCGAATGCGAATACTACGACTATTCATCAGTCGGTTGGTAATCATAATAAGGCAACAGTAACGACACTACGGATACTACTCAGAATAGAAATAACAATACTATTAGTGGGAATACTACTGATAACGATAATACTAATATAAACAATAATATCATTACTTTTGATAGTAAGACGGAGGCGAATATTCACAAGAGGAATTGTACGAACACTAAGGACAATAGTACGAATGCTAATAATGATATACATAGTACGACTACATGTAGGAATCACGATGAGGAGTAGCAGGAGAAACAGAAGGAGGAGGAGGATCGAGAGGAATAGGCGAAGAAGGATCAGATAATGGGCGGGAGGGTGATGGCGAAGCGGCGAGAGAGGGAGGAAGGGAGGGAGGGAGGGAGGGAGGGAGAGAGGGAGGAAGGACGAGGGAGGGAGGGAGGGAGGGAGGGAGGGAGGGAGGGAGGGAGGAGGAGGAGGAGGAGGAGGAGAGGAGGAGGAGGAGCAGGAGGAGGAGGGGGAAGAGAGAAAGAGGGGGAGGAGGAGGAGGAGGGAGGAGGAGGAGACGAGGAGGAGGAGAGGACGAAGGCGAGGGGGGAGGAGGAGGATGAGGAGGATCTTGGAGGAGCATGAGGAGGAGGAGGACAAAGAAGATGATGATGATGATGATGATGATGATGATGATGATGATGCTGATGATGATGATGATGATGATGATGATGATGATGATGATGATGATGCTGCTGCTGCTGCTGCTGATGATGATGATGATGATGATGATGATGATGATGGAGGTGGTGGTGGTGGTGGTGGTGGTGGTGATGATGATGGTGGTGGTGGTGGCGGTGGTGATGATGATGATGATGATGATGACGATGATGATGATGATGATGATGATGATGATGATGGTGATGGTGTTGGTTATGGTGATGATGATGATGATGACGATGATCTCGATGCTGATGACGACGATGATGACGATGCTGATGACGATGGTGATGATGATGCGGCTGATGACGCTGCTGATGATGCTGATGATTATGACGATGATGACGATGATGATGATGATGACGATGCTGACGATGATGATGATGACGATGATGATGATGCTGATGAGGATGATTATGATGATGATGATGATGATGATGATGATGATGATGATGATGGTGATGGTGATGGTGATTGTGATGATGATGATGATGATGGTGATGGTGATGGTGATGGTGTTGGTGTTGGTGTTGGTGATGGTAATGGTGACGATGATGATGATGGTGATGGTGTTGGTGTTGGTGTTGGTGTTGATGATGATGATGATGATTATGATGATGATGATGATGATGATGATAGTGATGATGGTGATGATGATGATGGTGATGGTGATGATGATGGTGATGGTGATCATGATGATGA